TCATAAAGCCGGTCCTTCTTCTTCCGATGTCACCAAGTCGTAGTAGCAGAAACAAAGATTACAACGTCCGAACGAATTGTAATATATATCTATATATTCATATATGCACACATGCATTTACTTTTGTGTACTTGGTTTGGTAATATATGTGTACATTTACTTACTTGCAAACTCATATTTTGTTTATATATATATATATATATATATACACCAGGCAGCACAACCAAATTAAAAAAAATAAAAGAAAATTCTTTAGTCCCAGTTGGTGACACTAACCGGGACTAAAGATGGAGATTTACTCCCGGGTATTTGAACCGGGACTAAAGACCGCCATCTTTAGTCCCGGATTCTCCCTCCCGGTTCGCTACCCGGGAGTAAAGGGGGTTACGAACCGGGAGAGATGAGTACTTCTCCAGTAGTGGATATAGTCTACTCCGCACGCAGTCATGCAGATCACACACATTTTCTAAAATTTTGTTGTGGTCTCTTAGGCGCTCCCGTCTCTTTTGGATCATCCCCGAGAGTCCCACCTTTTGGATCGTCACTAAGTACCACCAGTATTGTATAAGACAAATCTCACTATAAGTGTTTTCCTAAAATCTTAATTTTCTATCCCGATTCAAATTGGAAAAAGTACGAATTACCCCATGAACTATCGCGGTCGATTGAATTACCCCACTGAACTCGAAAACCAGATATCGCACACCTTAAACTTTCAATACCGGATAAATTACCCCCCCTAACTTAACTCGAAGTGGTTTTGGTCTTTTGTCGTAGTCCAGGCAGTAATTTTTTATTTAAAGAAATGGTGAGGCCCACCTGTCATATTCTCTCTCTTTTGTCGGACGACTCTTTTGGATCATCCTTGAGAGTCCCACCTTTTGGATCGTCCCTAAGTACCACCAGTATCGTATAGGAAAAAGTACGAATTACCCCCCCGAACTATCGCGGTCGGTTGAATTACACCCCTCCCCCCAAACCATGAAACCGGTCATTTTACACCTTCAAGTATTCATACGGGATAAATCACCCCCTAAGCACTTCCAAAGCGGTTTTAATCCTACGTGGTATACACGTGGCGCCGACGTGGAAATCCAATCAGCCAAAAAAAATTAAAAAAATAGGGCCCACATGTCATATTAATCACCTCATGCTCTCTCTCGTGGGCGAGCGAGCGGCAGTGGGTGTGGCTAGGTGGCTCCGACCGACGGCGAGACAGCGGCGGTGATGACGGCGGCGGGATCCTCCTTCCCCACCGCCATTCTCGGTGCCCGTCGAGCACAGCGTCGCGTACCAGCCATGGATCTGGACCGCCGGCAACCACGAGCTAGACTTCGTGCCGGAGCTCGGGGAGACCGTCCCCTTCAAGCCCTTCACCCACCGCTACCCGACACCGTACCGCGCGCGCGCCGCCGCCAGCACGAAGCCCTTCTGGTACTCCGTCAAGATCGCCTATTCGCCTCCGCGCACGTCGTCGTGCTGGCCTCCTACTCCACCTACGGCAAGTACACGCTGCAGTGGACATGGGCACATGGCTGCAGGAGGAGCTTGCCACCCGCATCGTGCTCATGCACTCGCCGTGGTACAACAGCAACAACTACCACTACATGGAGGGGGAGATGATGCGTGTCCAGTTCGAGCGGTGGCTCGTCGACACCAAGGTGGACCTGGTGCTCGCCGCCCACGTCCACTCGTACGAGCGAAGCCGCAGGTTCGCCAACATCAACTACGACATCGTCAAGATGTCAACGGCGGCGGAGGCGGCGCACGAGGTCGGGGGCATCGAGAATGGGTGACGAAGCCTAGCCGCGCCCGCCGCCGCTCGCCCAGCTGAGCCCGCCGCCTCCGCTCGTCCAGCCGCGCCCGCCGCCGCTCACCCAGCAGCGCCGGCAGCCGCCGCCGCAGTCGCCTCCTCTCGGCCGTCGCTGCGACGCCGCCGTCCGCCACCCGTCCCCGTGCGCCGCGCCCGCAGGGCCGCAGCCGCCTACGCTCGGCCGTCGCTGTGACGCCACCGTCCGCCATCCGCCCCCGTGCACCGCCGTCTGCCGCCCCCCGCCGTCCGCCGCCCCCCGCCGTCCGCCGCCCCCCCCCTCCGTGTCTCCCGCCGCTGCCGATCCGTAAGAGAGACAGACGAAGAGATAGAGTGAGAGAGAGAAGAGAGGAAGAATGAGAGAGAGGGGAAATTGAAAGATGACAGGTGGGTCCCACAATTTTTTATTTAAAAAACGCTGACTGGGATGCCACGTGTACGCCACGTAGACCAAAACCACCGCGGATTGGGTCGAGGGAGGTAATTCGTCCGGTTTGCAAAGTTTGGGGGTGAAGAATGTCCGGTTTTGTGGTTCGGGGGTAATTCGGACGACCGCGATAGTTCTGGGGGGTAATTCGTACTTTTTCCTATCGTATAAGACAAATCTCACTATAAGTCTTTACCTAAAACCTTAATTTTCTATCCCTATTCTAATTGGAAAAAGTATGAATTACCCCATAAACTATCGCAGTCGATCGAATTACCCCCCTGAACTTGAAAACAATATATCGCACACCTTTAACTTTCAATACCGGACAAATTACCCAGCCCCCCCTAACTCAACCCGAAGTGGCTTTGGTCTTACGTGGACTCTAGTCAACAATTTTTTATTTGAAGAAATGGTGGTGCTCACCTGTCATATTCTTTCTCCTCTCTATCTCTCACTCTTTCGGAAGCTGAGAGCAAGCGGCACACCGGCGGCTGCGAGCTAGATCGCGGTGGAGGTCAAGGATGAGGCACGTGCTGACTGTGGTCGGCCTATGAAGCTCACCATCTGCCTCATCCTCCTATAGTCGGGGGAGCGGCGGCCGGCGCCGGACTTGCATGAGAAGGTGGCCATGGAGAGGGAGAGGGGGCGGCACAGCGGGGCGGCTGCAGAGGCCGGTGACCGCAGAGCCAAATGTGGCACGGTCGAGGATGAGCAGCGCGCTAGCGGTGGTCGGCCAGTCAAGCTCACCATCCGCCTCGTTCTCCTATGGTCGGGGAAGCGTCCGCCGCCACCGGACTTGCGCGAGAAGGCGGCCATGGCGAGGGAGAGGGAGCGACGTGGTAGGGCGGCCGCAGAGGCCGGTGACTGCGGTGTTGAGGGCGGCGCGGTCGAAGGCAAAGGTGCTGCGGCGGCGGCGGCCATGGCGGGGAAGACGGGTCGACATGGCGGGGCACCTGTAGAGCTAATGTATTTAACGCTGCGTGTTCTCTAAGGATGTGCCGGGTCTGATTTGACGCCGCCGACACGCATCGCACTCACCTCCGCCTCCATGCCACCTCCGGTCGCGTCGCCCTACCGTGTCGTCCCGTCTTCGCCGCCGCCGCCGCGTGCTTCAGAAGGGGAGGAAGAAGAGTCGTGGGTTGCGCCGCCCCCTCTCCCCCACTGCCGCACGCTTAAGATGGGGAGGGAGAAGAGATGCAGGTTGTGCCGCCGTGCCGTGTCGCCCCATGTCCCCCTCCGCCGTGCACTTCAGAAGGGAGGGAGGAGAGAGAGTGGGGTGGGGATTCTTATGAGTGGGCCCTAGCAATTTTTTTTAGAAAAAATTGCTGACTAGACTGTCACATATGCTATTCAAACCCTAAACCGCTCGCAACAGTGTTGTGTGTGTGTTGGGGGGGGTATTTCGTTCGAATATTGAAAGTTCAGAGTGAGCGATATCTGGTTTTCGAGTTTAGAAGGGTAATTCGGTCGACCACAGTAGTTTATTGGTGTAATTTGTACCTTTTACATTCTAATTTCAACGTCCCGAATAATGATTCCAAACACATTATAGGATACCCCTTGAAGGACGGAAATGCTACTGGGCGGGCGATCGCTCGCCCGGGGCGATCAGTCCCCCCCTCCTCCCCCTCCCTCCCTCCACCTGGTTTCCTTTTTTGGCACTGCATTATTGTCCTATTTTAGTAAATTTATTCACCTAAAGTTTATACACCTAAAGTTTATATATCCGATTCAAATTTGAATTTGAATTCGAATATTTTTTTATATATAGTATTTCTATACATCTAAAGTTTATACACCTAAAGTTTGTAGACCTAAAGTTTATAGATCTAAAGTTTATATATCCGAATCAAATTTGAATTTGAATTATATCTGATTCAATTTTGAATTTGAATTCAAATATCAGATTCAAATTTGAATTTGAATTCAAATATTTTTCATATATAGTATTTCTATACATCTAAAGTTTATACATCTAAAGTTTATAGATCCAAAGTTTATAAGTCAAAAGTTTACATACCCGATTCAAATTTGAATTTGAATTATATCCGATTCAAATTTGAATTTGAATTCAAATATAAATATTTTATATATATAGTATTTCTATACATCTAAAGTTTATACAGCTAAAGTTTAAATTTAAATTCAAATATTAGTTTATAGACCCAAAGTTTATAAGTTAAAAGTTTACATACCCGTTTCAAATTTGAATTTGAATTTGAATTCAAATATTAGTTTATAGACCCAAGTTTATAAGTAAAAAGTTTACGTACATGTTTCAAATTTGAATTTTAATTTAAATTTTTATGGTGTAGTATTAAGAGAAGAATGGGAGGTGAAGTAGTAAGGGGGAGGGGCGGGTGATCACTGGGGAGGGGAGGGAGCGATCACCCACCCATTAGGATTGACCCTTTAAGGAGATCAAGGCTCTCGGACAGTGATCACCGGTGACGCCTTGGGCATCAAGCGGCGATCGGTCGTCTTGCATGTAGGACTTCTAATCGACACAAAGAAGGTGATCGATGACTTCCTTAAAGCGGGACCAAAGGATTTTTTAAATTCTGGTATACCCAATTCCGCTTTAGATCGAGAAATTAGTGATCATGTCTTGGCTAAGTAGTAGATCATGAAGCTTAGGCCCCTAGAGGGAGATTCTGATAATGGACCAAAAAAAGAAGAGGGTTAGCAATTCGCAAGATTTTGCCCTCGACTTTGTTTCTACTGTAGTTTAGCAAATCCATTATTTGTCACTTAAACTAATAATCTCATTCCACAAGTCGTCAGGACTCAAGGACTTAGAATTAACACATAGAAAACCATGTAAAAACACAATCCTCAACTCAACAAATCACACCTTAACACTTGACTAAATTAACATGCATGCACATAATCAGCATCATCCATGACTTGGCCTAAAACTTCTCCCCAACTCATACACCCAAAACAACTAGCCCAAGAGCTACTAGGCCGACTATGACATCGCTCCACTTTTGACGCACGACGGCAGAAGCGTCCGACGACATCGGCGGCGGGGGAGGTGGTGAGGACATCGGTGCGAAAGCCGCCGCCGGAAAATCTGCCTCCACGGACTGCACAGTGGGAGCCATCGCCGGCGCCGGTTTAGGCGGAAGGTGCCTGCTCCTGTGCTTCTTGTGCCCCGAATGCCTTCGCTGCGTCGCCGCGGGTGCTGGTGCCGGCGACCATACTGGCGCTTGCGCTGGCGGCAACGGCATTGGCGCCGGTGCAGTCCGCCTCTTGTGTCGTGGAGAAGGTGGCAGCAACGGCGGTGGGCTGGGCGTTGCGGGTGCGGGGCGGTCGGCGACGTCCACCACCAGCTTCATTCCGGACTGGCAGTGCCCCGGCGCGCCGCAGATGAAATAGCGCTTCCCCGGCGTCGTGAGCACGATGGTGGTGCTGCCGCTGCTGTCGGCGGAGACAGGGCTGGTCGCGGAGCACGCTTCGTAGTCGTCTTTGGTCACTTCGACGACGTTGTGGTACGAGCTGTACTTGAATGCTGCACAGTGTTTTGCCCGCAAAGAATGAGCAGGAGAACGCGGTACGTAAATTAATCGACAGCAATCCTACTGTAGTCCTAATGACCGCACTAGTTGGTAAAAATTGCAGTAATTTGTGTGCAGCTTAGTACACTTACTTAGCGTGTCTCCAGGAGAAAACGTTTGCGATGCAACCCAGGCCTTGTACTCCCCGCCCCAGCCGCCGGCTGCACTGCCGATAGTGTAATCGGCAGCCGACACGACGTGGATCAGTGAGACTGCCGCAGCGATGCAAATCGCGGCCTTCATATCTACCATCTTCGCCGCACAAAGCTTGACGATCCAGACAGTATCACTGGTGCATGTTCTCGATCTGGGCCTCCATGTTTATAGAGGAATTAGCGTGTCAGTTTGTCCCTACGTCGATCCGAAGGGTACAGAATAATTTATCAGACCCGGCACGGAATTTCGCTGCCACAGATCATGGCGCGCGGAAGCAGACAAGGAGTTAGTAGGTGCCGTAGGACGAATTGAGCATATGAATATTTGGAGCATGCAGCAATAGCTTGGCTGCAATTGCCAGGCTTTATATGTTCCACCGATCGTGCCATGTGCATGCAGCGCAAGCAAGCCGAGCCGATTAGCCGAACGGTACATTCCTTGGGCACGTACAGGCTGTCGCAACGCGCGGCCGCTCGGTGACAAACGGATTCCGCCGGGAGGAACGCCCGCCGATGGCAAGCGCACCGGAGCGCCCCGCCACGTATGTAGGTGCCAGTAGTGTTAAACAGCCGAAGAAAAGTTCGGGAAACCGAGCCGCGCGCGTCCGCCCGCGTCTCGCGCATGCACCGTCCGCGAGGCGCCTTTTTGCCGTCGCGCCGTTGTCCCGTGCAATCCACCGAGACGGAGAAGGTGCCCGGCGCTGGATGCGGCTAAGTGAACAGTCCAAGAGCGTAGGGACTGGCCGGGTGGAGGCGCGGGCCGGTTCGGCGCATGTGCGCGGCGCGCGGGCGGGGGGACGGGGACGCATGCGACGGCCGCCTCCGTGCTGCGCCAACGCGGCTGCAACGGAAGCGTGCCGCGGAAAAGCTACCGGCGATAGCGAGGTTGCGTAGAGTAGCTTTTGCCAAAAGCGGGAGGCACGCGACCCCGGTTCCTCGCTGCAACCGATTCGCGCACAAGGGGCCCAGGGCCAGGGCCGCTGCGCCGCCTGAGCCTGCGCAAGCTATATGTGGGCCATGTATTGAGTGGGCTAAAAAGGTTCCCGGTCTCTTGCGTAGCTCCACCAAGTGAGATTTAGGGCATGCCCAAGGCTCCACCCTCGAGCAAGATCTCACACCTCCCAAAGCGAATATTCGCGCCACGTCGGAAGGAGCCGCGTCCCTGCAAGGTGCATGAATGCTATAGGAGGTCCGAACACCCTTATCAGAGGTATCACACTTTTGACCGGAAGAATCGACGAGGATGCGCGTTGGGTAGCTGTGTCGCCCCATGCTATCGCTTCAGCTCGTGTCACGCCCCGAACTAGCCCCGAGCGGGACTAGCCCGTGACGCTCCAAATTAACCTGTTAATCGATACCAGTCCCAGGAAACAGTGCTGGTATCACAGGAAGACAGAGTATCACAGCAACAGAGGTCTCTTTATTATAGAGTAGGAGTACAGTCATGTTGGGCTGCGGACAGATCCCGAGCTCACAACTGCATTACAAAAGGGAAACGGAAGCCAAGACTTGGACCAAACGTCACAGGCGCGACTTGGGAACTAGGCCGAAACCCTAAAACTCATCGTAGCCGGCTTGCTCCTAGAAGAACTCCTCGGCAGCGGGATCCGCTTCATCTTCTTCAGCAACTGGGGGGGATTATTTATATAGAGCAAGGGTGAGTACGGGAGTACTCAGCAAGCCATGGGAAATAAGTGTTTAATGCAGGCTTCAAGGAAAGGCTGTTGTTTTTGCAATTGATTTTATTTGAACTCTTTTCTGAAACAACTAAGTGAGTGCTTCTCAAACGACACGGATGAGACAGTGCGTCTCGTCCGGTCGGAGTATGTGCAATGTATCAGTCTTTGAATTGATTCAAGGTTAGCACTCGGCCAACAACTTTCAAACGGCCACCCGGGCCTAACTGATCCCATCAGCTGCAGATTTTCCAAACATCGATCCCCTTTCCACAACAGCAATTTCACAAAGCAGTAGTCAAACAAATCTACGCTAGGAATCACCTCACATCCGCCCATGACCGTGGGCACGACTGTTCGAACAGTTTTAATAACCTCTGCAGAGGGGGTACACTTTACCCACACGACATTACTAACCCGGATCATCCAGCCCGTGCAGAACGGCCACGACTAGAGACCTTAAGGCTTTCATGACAAGGCATTTCGAAAGCCGACACAGGTTCACCATATGCCAACGAGAGGGGTCCCAGACCAACACCAGATTAGGTCCCAGACTATACTGTGCCAGGAAGCCCAGGGGTCCTCCCCAACACCACCCCGGCGAATCCACATGTCTCTTAGCATAATGGCTCCCCCGATAAGCTAGTTACTCAGCCAGGGGTGTCCCATTCCACCCATGTGGTCGTACTTGTCTTATGTTCGGATGAAATTCCAAGGAAACGGTCCTTAAGTGCAAGAGTGGGAAACCATACACCCGGTACGTTCCCCGGTCCGCGGTTTTGGAAATTCATTTAGTTCGCAAGCACCGACCCAGGTGTCGGGTTTTCCAAGTCTTTTGTAAAACCCAAGTTTTACCCAAGATGATTCTCAGATTTTAAGTTTGAAGGCGACCGTCGATACCTGTGCAGAGTGCATGATTACCGAGGCGCAACTAGGTGGGTACAAGGGAACATGGTATAACAATTACAATGGAAGGGTCAAATGCAACAAATTAGGTAGGTCCGCCAATCTGCCTTGCAGACGAGACAAGCAGATTAAGTGCGATCCTATCAATACATAATATTTTTCAAGCAACATAATTAAGTTCAAATATAGGCTCAAAATGTTCAAATGTGGCTTGCCTTGCTCGAGATCTTGAGCTTGATCCTCGAAATCCTCGCACTGCGGGTCTTCGGGCTCCGAAACTACACGCAAAACGGGACAACTCAACAAACGGCAAAAATAAGCCCTATTAATGACCTCTAAGCGTGCCATTAGATAGATCTCGAGATTTGAGGAATTTTGGAAGTTGAACGGAGTCAAACGGACTTACGGTTGGAAAGATATTGAGTTTCTAAGATTATTGGATTTTTGGTCTAAAGGAAAAGGATTTATTTAAATCCTTTTTGAAAAAGAAAAGAAAAGAAAAGAAGGAGGGAGGGAAATTAGACTTCCCTCGGGCGGCTAGGGCGCGGCCCGAGAGAATGGGGCGGCTCGGCCGAGCTTAATGGGCCGGCCGGCCCAAGAAAGCGGCCCAAGGCGCGCGCGCGGGCGGGGAGGGGAGAGAGAGAGAGCCGGTGGGCCGGGTCCATCCCGCGTGGTCCCGGGTGGGACCCGCTTGTCGGCGACTCGGCTCTCCGTGAGCGAGGTGCACGCGGGGCGTGCTAGGGTTTGGGGAGGGAGGCACGGCGCATGCGCGCGGTTCGCGGAGGACGCGGTGCGGCGGACCCATGCGCAGCCTCACGGCTCACCGCGGACCATGCGCACGGGGGGTAAACGGAGGGAGCGGCTGGCCGGGTCAGCCGATCCGGTCACGGCCGAGGTGGCGCCGACGTGGCGCCTACGTGGCTGCCACGCGGGCCGGCGGGAGGTAGACGACGACGCCGGCCGGAACGGACGGCGGACGACAGCGGCGAGCGGCGGAGCGAACCATGGCGATACAGGCGAAGGCGAGCACACCGGGATGTTGCACAGGACGAGGGGAGACGAGCCAACGGCTCGGATTCGCCGGAGGGAGCTCGACAGCGGCGGATTGCGGCGGCGGCAACCGGTGGTGAGGGAAGGGGGAAATGGCGATGAGGTCACGAGGGGCCGATTCCCGGTGGTGAGAGCATCTACGCGGCTATGGGAATCCGTTGCTAGCGTCGGATTGGGCGGAGCTACGCCGAGCGAGGCCGGCGATGAGCGGGCGCTACGGAGCACGGGCGGCGACGGCGGCGAGCACACAGCGAGCGGCGGCAACGGTCGGGGCGGTGCCAGCTAGCTACGGGGAGGCTACTCGTGCTACTACCCGAGTCTAAGGGGAGGAGATGGAACGAGGAGGGAGAACGGAGGGAGGTACTACCGTGCGGGGGTGATGGGGCGCAGTGACGAGAGGCCGATGGCACGGGAGTGATCTCTCCGGCCTCGGGCCGGGGAAGAGGAAGAAGACGAGCGCCCGGAGTCCCCTTCCGTGTCCTTGCTCGTGCCGGCTCCTCCGACATGAGCGACGGCGAACGGCGACAGCGAACAGAGCACGGGAGGCGGCGACAATGGAGTGGAGGCGAATGGGAGAGGAAAGGAAAGGGGGAAAAGCTTGGGTTTATATGGGCGACGATGTCGGTTTGGGAACCGACCTTGGGCGGTCAAGGGAGCGAGCTGGCGCTCGGCGGTCGCGGCCCCAACGGCGACAGGGGGGAGGATGACGCCGGCGGGAGGAAAAAGGGAAAAAGAGGGAGAGAAAGGGGGCTTTCCCCCTTTCCACTTTGGGAAAAGGAGGAGGGGATGGGGGCGACGTGGCAGAGGGAGGAGGAGCTCTGCCTCCGTCCCTTGGAAGCACGCGCGAGCAGGGGCGGGGCCAAGGCGATGACGACGGCGATAACGGCCGGGCGGTTTGGAGCGGAGCGACGACACGGGCGGCAGGCGCGGGTAGGCGCGGCAGGCGCTGACGGCGGTGGCGACTGGCCGGTCGGCCACCATGGCGCGCGCGCGCGGGAAGCAACGGGCGGCGTGGCGATTTGGGCGGCGTCGGCGGGAAACGGCAGCGAGGGCGGAGGGCGCTCGGCTAGGCGCGGCTCACGCGCACGCGTGCGCAGCGCACGGGCAGAGCGGGGGAGAGGAAGAGAGAGAGAGAGATGGGGAGGGAGGGGGAGATGGGCCGAGAGGGATTCGGCCCATCGAACCCGAGGGAGGCGAATCAGACTTTTGCGGAGAGATTTGATTTGGGAAGGATTTGGATTCGGGATTGAACTTGATGATAGATCGAGGATTTGAGATATGAGATGGCACGGACACTAGGCAACAAGCAGGGAAACGGATTTCGCAAATAGAGTTTTTAAGAGATAGTTTTCCCGCTAGGCGCCACGACGGAACGGGCGCTACAGCTCGCCATCAACTCGAGCTCCCGCGCCATTGCCATCATAGTCGAGGTCGAGGTCGTCACTGTCGTGCGGATCCGACGAGCTCGAGATCAGTCGGTGGGAGAGAAGAAGCGCGACGGCGCATCGGTCCGGTCGTCACCGCGTCGAGACCGGCCGCTGCCTCGTCGATCCCGGCCGTCGCCGCATGGATCCGCGTCCGCCGCGTCGATCCCGGCCGCCGCCGCCACGTCGATTTGCGGCCGCCGCGTCGATCCGCCACCGCCGCTGCTTGATCCGCCGCCGATGCATCGATCCGCCACCGCCGCCGCTCGATCCGGCGGTGGGGAGAGAGGGCTGGGCCAGGGAGAGGCGGCGCCTCCGGGAAGGGGAGGCGTGGGGAGAGAGAGTCGATGCCGGGAAAGAGACCGCTGGAGAGAGAAGAGGCGCTAGAGAGATTGGGTTGGGGAGATGGTGAGGAGAGGAGAGGTTGATGTGTATATATGTTTGTGATTTCTAGGGGCATACTGCAAATATTGGACTTATATGCAAATAAAAATAATCTAAGGGCTTCAATGCAAAATATGACTGACTGATAGGTACTGCGGTGCAAAATAAGATGGATGTATGGCTTGCACTGTGTGAGGCATATCCCTAGCTGGGTCTTTGATCACTTTTGTTCACGTGGATGGTGGAGGTGCTCCCGGCGTTGAGCATATGCCCTTAAGACCAAGTGAGATTTAAGATGGGCTTGTTTCGATGTGTTCGTGTGTGGTTTATTCCGCTCTGCTTCCATTAACTTGACTAGCCCACGTCGGAAGCTCGCTCAATACCATCAAACCAAAAATGACGGCAACGTGTCGTGCAAACACAGCACTACAGGACTACAGGCCATGCATGTTGCACGAGTGATCACATGAGAAACACCATCAGACATTATGTATGTTTCTGGGCTTTCTTTAAAAAACCGAGTCAATATATTGATCTGTTATTAAAAAAACAAAAAAACTACTCAACAGTATTCCGTACACATGGAAAAACTACTACCATTAAGGGCGACGCTCCGGTGCTTTCTACTTGTAGTATTATACTACGAGTAGAATTAATCCTGACCGTTTATTTTAAAGGGTAGATTAGTAATCTTTTAATACATATTAGGGGTAATTTTGGCTGGGGCTGATTTCTGTGTCTCGGTCGCTTGATCGCATCAGGCCCGACGCAGGCACTGCATCTCGCATGTTACTTATCACGGCGATGGAACCGATCCATTCGAGCGTCGGCTGCGCGTGGCCTTCCGCCGTTCCGCGTGCATCCAATCGGGGCAGCGGTGTGCAGTTCAATTCGGAGGTCACTCCGACGACGATCCCGGCCCCTCCGCGTGCGGCGGAGACTCGCTTGGATCCATTCCGGCTAGAGTTTGCTTCTGGAAAATACTGCAGTTGCTGCTACTGAATTATACTGTTGGTGACGAAAAATCCTGGCACTGCTGGTGCTTACTTGTGTAGTTGGTGACGAAAAGTTGTAGTGCTTGATGTTTCATGAATTCTGCTGTTGGTGATGATGTATGTAACTAGTGTGTGCCGCAGCGAGACACCATTGCAGAGTAGCAGTTAAGCTCTTGGTATTGTGCCATTTTCGTTGCACTTCTGCGTGTTTAAAGGTTAATGCCTGCTGCTTTTCAAATGTTACGTGGATCTATTTGTGCCATGAATGAAACAATATGATAGAAATATAAATCATCCATGTTTGAATTTTGTTTCATATAACTCTTGATTGCGCTTTGTTGATGATTTTTTTTTGACGCGAGACTCTACCTTATTACCATTTGATTAATGGTGTGTCAAGAAAGTTACATAAAGAATTTGTTGCTGAATTTAGTTGTCCCAGAAACAGCTTGAGCACTAAAAAATCCTGTAAAGGCAACAGAGAGCAGTGTACGCAAGCTGCTAACCCATCTAGCCAGCAGTGCCATCTCCATCAACACAAACACCCCCGGAGAGTGAAAGGCACGGCCCGAGCCATTCATCGTCAGATTCAGATATTCAGTAGATCTACCTTTGACCATTCCAATCGAACACTCATATATTAGTAGCAGTGAAATTTAATAGACATGCATTTGATTCGATCGAAGACGTTTGCAACAATGATCCATCCAACTCAGGTTTTTCATGTGTGCACTGTGGGGCCTTCACGGCCTATGGCGAAAGTATCCCGCTTCACTGAGATGCTAGGCCCTGCTGCGTAGCCTCTGATGGGGGGAGACACATGCGGCAGCGGCGTCCGGCTGCAGGAAGAGAGGAGCGCGCGCACGCGAGCGGCGGTGTCGTGATCATGTACGCTGTTAAGTTTAGTAACTATTAGAAGACGAGTTTACCCTCCGCACATAGTTTTTTTAACAAATTTGCCCACCCACGCTTCTACTACCATAAGATGAGATGGTAGTAGAAATATATCTGAACCATTCAATCAAATTAGATCAATGGTTCAGATCGTTTTCTACTACGAGTAGAAAGCACCGGAGTGAGGCTCTACCATTAAATATCTAGCATCTTATCCTCTTCTTTGTCTTTTCCCCTTCCCTATCCCTTTAGTCTGACTACCACCCTCATGAGCACAACGACGACGACGGCGGCTAGCTGCGCGGGGTGGCATGTTGGGCATGGAGGACGCTCAACCCCCTCTCCTTCGCCAGTGACGAGGAAGGCGGCGCCCCGCGGAGCTCCTCCCGCTGGCTCAGGAACACGCGGCGCGGTGGCGAAGCAACGTGAGAGGTCTCGCGCCGCCGCGGCCACCGACGAGGACTGCGAGCTCCTCCGTCCCTCCACCCCCACGCGACAATGCTGCACCGCCACCACTCCCCTCCGTTCATCCGCCTCTCCATGCCGATGGTGTTGACTGCTCGCATCCACTCCTTCGATACCTGCAGGTACCCCTAGCACTCCATTCCGCTTTGGCTTGATTCCTCCACCCCCCCACGCCGGCAATGCTTCACCGCCGCTTGCATCCCTTCCTCATGTGTGTTTTTCTCTTTTTTTGCTTGATGATGCCCTTTGCTGATTTTTTTTCTCTGGCTTATATGGATGGTATCGATTCCCCTGTCCTATCCTCTTGAATCTCTCCAATTCCACAGGTACTAGGTACCACACACCATGCAGCCAGTACCATACTGGTACCAGGTACCAGATACCAGGTATCAGGTACCGGGTACCAGGTACTAGGTGCTAGGTATCAGGTATCAGGTACCAGCCTGTGCTATGCTGCTCTGGCTGCATAGGAGCAATGCCGGCGACGAGGTATCGCGCGCACGATATCAAGGAGGAATAGGATATGTATCGCGCCTATGGTACGTGGTACCAGGTACCAGGAGGGGGCACACGTTCACCAAGTGAAATCTCACCTATATAGAAGAAAGGAAAGAGAGGTGTCACTTGAAGTACTAGTATCTCATAATAACAGGATTTCGTTGTGTAGATGCCCTCTAAAAAAAATACACACCATCAAACCAAAGACCAAAGTGGCCGAAGCGTTTGGTGCAACTGTCACATTTTCACCGTTTCAGCATGCTGACGTACATGCGACTATGCGAGCTTACGATCTGCCAAAAAAATATTCTCATCAATCGTTCATCAGCATGGCATCTTGAAGCCCATGTACTGTCCACTCGTGTACTGGACCCAGACTCGAACCGCTCCGGAGCAAGCTATCACGACGACGCTGAGCGCCAAGATGGCGGCGACCATGAACACTATGAGCGAGACCCTCCCTGACTTCCTGATGGTGCCTTGTATCACCACCAGCCCGACGATCGAAGCCACGAAGCAGGTGATGGCGTAAACCAACGCGGTCACGATCCCATCAACTCCCAGGATTATGAACTGAACCATCGACATCGAGGCGCAGAAAAGAACCATAAACATCGTCGTCGACGATGCTGTCTGAACAAAAAAGAAATCAGACCAAGCGTCAGCGAGTAGATACCACTATGGCATTTACTAATATTCTAATAGTAATACTACTTTTGAACCAGACATGAATTACTTTTGGGGGCACTCCAATTTGTAGTAGGACAGGGTTGAGAAGCAGGCCGCCACCAATGCCAAAGAGCCCACTCATAACGCCGGTCAGCAGAGCAGCTACCGGGAAGACGTAAACTGGCAAAGATTCCAGCTTGCTCTTCACTGAAATTGCCTACATTTCCAAGGAAATTTGTTGATGGCTATCAAAAAAATACGTAATAAACCATATGTTTGAGTTGTTTTAGTGTACCTGGTCAAACTCCTGGCTGTTCTGAGCGTGTGATTTTCGCTTCTGGTGCACAATACACGCTGTGAAAGCCACAGCGATAGGAATCTGTGCTATGGTGATGAGCCAGTATGTAACTCCGCATGGCTCAATGTCAAATACCCCCTGAAGAAAATAAATGTGTACTTAGAAATTCTTTTTGAACGAAATGTCCTTACAAATTGAGAGAGGCTGAGACTAATCATAAAAACTGGAACTTTGACAATGGATGCTAGCAGGGGCGGATCCAGGAAAAAAAATTGGGGGGACTCAATTACACAATTTCTTCGACCTTTAGTCATCTAGAGACCTTTAGTTTATTATTTATGATGAAAAAATTAAGGGGATGCTCCGGGGATATCCATGGATCTTGTAGGTGTAGGGGGGACTCGAGTCCCCCCACGTTTGATCCGCCCCTGGATGCTAGGCTGCTAGCTATCACTAATCAGTTCACTTGAATGAACAACTGATGAAAAATCAATTGCGCAAATGAAGGCATGGATTATCCGAATGGGCAAAATAAATCACTACTAGTATTAGGTAACAGATTCTCATACCTTGGCGCCCTCGCCTCCTATGAACAGATGAATGACAAAGAAGCAAAGCCAGATGGTGACGAGCACCATCAAGTCAACGCATTGACGCCGATGACCATCTCCATCCTTCTGGCCAAGAAGCGCTTCCCCCGCGCCATCGCCAAGGGAGCTCCCTCCCTCCAGCATCCTCCTCGCCGCAGCCGTCTCGGCGCGCCACCGCTTCATCCCGGTGCCGTACGTCTTGAACGTGGCGGATGCGAGGAACACGGCGAAGAGCGCGGTGATGAGCCACTCGGGGAACATGACGTTGCAGATCACGCCGACGCTGACGCCGAGGAGGAGGCACGGCTGCGAGACCACGGCGATGTCGTAGTCGATCAGCGGCTGGTGGCCGCCCTTCTCGTGGCCGCGGAGAACAATCAGGGTGTAGAGCACGTTGGACAGCGTGCCGCCGGTGACCATGAACGTGGAGAACGCGGTCGCCGTCTTGAGGCTGAGCCCGGCGACGATGTTGAGGATGGGGACGTACAATGAGCCGCCTCCGACTCCCCCGGCGCTGGAGAAGGCCGCGGCCAAGAAGGAAAGGATGCATGCAAGAACAGTACCAAGGTCCATCGATGCTAGCTGCTGCAATCTCCACTGAGAGAGGGGCGGAGTGGAGCTGGGGGTTGTTTCAGAAATGAAGCGATTACCTGCTTCTGAGTGGTGAGGAACTCATCAGCTTGCCAATGTTTTGGAGGCGAGTTTGGTTATGTTCGTGTAATCGTGTTGATTCTGTGTTTTATGATGTGCCTGGTAGGCTCTTCGTAGATTCTAATGGGCAATTGAAATCGAAGAGTAGGAGTTGAATCTATTTGTAATAGACCTAGTTGATACTTACGACGTGGACATTCCTGTTGTTTACCTGTTTGTTTAGATGTTTCTGCAGATAAATATTCCGTGCACAGTTTCCATCTGCTGTCGACAACAGTTTAGTTTGGTCAACTATGTATTTAGACGTTTTTCTGAGTCGGAATGCACATCAACTAGCCACATAGTCGTGTTTTGTGCGACTTGGATGCCCGTTTAAGTATCTTATGTATATTAGTATATATGTGCCATTTTAGCTGATCCACAAGGTTCCCTATTTTGTTTTGAACTGAAATTTTGGAATTTCGGTGTCACCGAAATTTTCGAAATATCCAGGAATTTTCATGATTTTTGGACCAAAATTATTTGATCTTTTAACAAAGTTTGACTGAATTTTAATAAACTTTAACCAAATTCAAAATATTAGAAAACCAAAATTTCGGACGAGATAATGTGTTGTTGTGGGTCAGAAGTAACCAAAATTTTAGAAATTTCGAACCGAAATTATATTCATTGTTGATCCCTCGCTGATTGTTATCAAGAGTCACTTATTCGAACCAAAATTGTTTATGGCTTCGTGTAAATATGACTAAATATGGCATTCTGAACTAAAGAAATCCAGTATTTAACATCTAGAGATGTATGTTATGTTCGTTGAACACACCATTCTTCAGTATTAAGTAGTAACTCGTCATTAGATCCAAGGCAAAGTATGAATTGCAAATAGATATGGCGGGCCTAAAAAATAAACAGAGTTCAAAACTATACGAAAATCTCGAAACGTAGGTACCTTGAGGAAGCAAATAGCTTTGCTTAATAGAGTATGTTCGTAAGGAGCAAACTGTTAATGATGATGGAAATAAAAAACATGATTCAGTTTAGGCTCCCATCTGGCCATCTCCCGCATTCTGAACTGTTAACCCATTCTGAACTGTTAATGGTCAAAGTTTAATTTCCTGTTTCCTAGCGAGAGGGAGTTGGGAGAGTACGCTTTACATGGTACTAGCCGGAGATGATGAAGAGCTCCGGCCTCTTGGCGAGAGGACTCGCTGCGGCGAACGAACTCAAGCATCTCATAGCCTGCGAAGGTGCAGGCAACACCACTTGAACCTGCCTGCTTAGTCCCCCATCTCTTACTAAAATGAGGCGGTGGTGGCGACCGGAATTAGGGAGAGCAAACGGAGAGGGCAACTGTGTGGATTAGAGAGAGGAGGATGGCCAGGGAGGCGGCACGGTGTTGATGGTCGCTGACTCGAAAGGGTGGATTGTTTACCTGGTGACGCTTCGGTTACTGAGCAGGTCGTGCATGACTAGCTTTCCAAACTCCTGTTGAAGACTCTAGAAGACTCTAACTTGGCCAGGTTTTCTAGTCAAGTTTATTTGAGATCCAATGGCTGATGTTGAATACCAAGCTGCATCCAACGGTCCTTATTTTCCGATGACGTGGCGCATCGAGGTGGTGAAAAACTTTAGTTTTTTCACTACTTTAGATATGGTTGGAGTACGGGAGGGCAACCTAAGTACCTAACCCTTGAGGGATTTTCCCTCATGTAACTTTTTGAATCAAATTTAATATAAATAGTTGTAAAATATTCTTTTTTTTTGGCAATGCACAGTATAGCGATATCTACCACTTCACCAGAAATCATATTCAAATTCCACCGAAACATTAAAAAAAAAGACAAATTCATACGTGAACATCTATATGAATGTGAGCAATAATAGAAAGTCTTATAACATGAAACGGAGGGAGTACCAAAGACTATTCATATGTTGGGTTTGTCTTTTTTTTTTTCTCAATGTGTGAGTTGAGTTTTGACTTGGTTTGGTGGAGTAGTTTATGTATAGATAAATTTTAGAGTCCTCAAGAGATAACAAGGTGTACCAAAATTTTTAGTGCAAATTTCCGTATCTCATGGTATCGAGAGGTATCGTACCTTCTCAAGATCTGTAAAATCACTCTTATATAGTATATGGTATCAATGCTGTCAATTTGTTTGAGAACTTTTAACAGCAATTTAAATAGTATTTGAACAAACGAGGGAACATGCCCTTGCTAGTTTAAAACATTTCCATATTGGAGTACAAAGCACAGGTTGGATTTAAATTTCAATGTTTGTGGAATAACATATCTTATATTAATTTATGATATTGCTTTCTAAAAAAAACTGTGACTATTTGAATAACACGAAAAACGAGGGGATATTCTCGAGATGAAAATACTTTCCAACTATTGCACGGATTGAAATGCTTTCCAAGCATTGCACGGTAGTAAGGGCACTTTATTTGGACGATGTCAAATGTGCTCTGACAAGAAGTTCGTCTACCCAATCAAGATAATTCTTGATAGTACTTTCTGGCGTTTTAGTGTGATAAAACTAGAACTCTCCTTTTCAAAATTAACTAGAAAAACTAATACGGTTTTTTGGGGCAAACTAAGAAAACTGATACTAGCAGATTTAGCATATTTAAAAGAAAAATCTAAAAAAGAGGGGGAAATTGGTTTTAAGCACTCTACTGCTACGTGGATCACCGTAAGTCAGGCTTCTTTTTCAGTATGGGCATCAAAAATGCCGAAATGGTATTTATTGTAGTGAGAATTCTGTAAGCTAATAACTACCTGTTATGACACGGACAACAAAATCTTCTTTCAGGCAAGCCCATTTATAGCAAGCACCTCTCACTCGATGTTTTTTTTTTTTTTTGTTGTGTAACTGTGTGCACATATTTAGCTTACTGACAATGTCAGCAAGGTAACTTGAAACCCATGTAAGCTCCACTAGTATACTGCGCCCATACATCCAATGCTCCGAAGAAGGTGATGATCACGGTGCTGACCGCCATGATGCCAGTTACCAAGAACACGATCAGCGACACCCTCCCGGACTTCCTGATAGCTCGCTCAATCACCACCGCTCCAACAACCGAAGCAACAAAGCAGATCCCTGCGTAAACAGAAGCTTCTCCGATGCCTTGCATGCCTAGCAGGATGAACTGAACCATCGACATGGATGCGCAGAAAAGGACCATAAACGAAGACGTCGCTGCTGCAGTCTGCAAATCAAGGATGGTAATGCTACTGCATGAATCATGGACTCGACAGAAAACTACTGATCATACCTTGGTAACCATAGGTCCATAGGACCATAGTTTCAGTAGCTTAAGAATCTGTAGTGTGTGTACCACTGTACCTGCGGTGGTATTCCAATCTGAAGAAGAACAGGGTTCAGAAGTAGGCCTCCCCCAATGCCAAAGAGGCCGCTCAGAGCACCGGTGACAAAAGCAGCCAGTGGGAATAGAAGCGTGGGCAAGGTATCCATTTTAGTGCTCTCCGGATTTGCCTACATGACCATGTAATGGTTCATGAGCCCCAATTGCTTGTAAGTAATTGTCACAAGAACAGTTAATAAAAGACAAAATATGCCACCTTGCCATCTTCTTGATTATGCAGAACTTGTTTCTTCCTCTTCGCGTATATAATATAAGCTGTGAAAGCCACGGCGAAAGGAACCTGGGACAGGGTGATCAACCAGTATGCAACTCCACAGGGTTTTATCCTGATCATACCCTGAGCAGATAAGAACAAAATGTTGGAATCATGCATATGAGTATGATTGATGGCCAGAATTTCTAAACTGCAACCTCGGTATGGTTAAGTTGCCAAAATTGCCACTGACGTCTTCAATCTTTCCAGTTCATATATAATGAATGTGGAGAAGAACAATGTTATGATTCTAACAAGGAAGAAAAGGTCCCAATTCAGTAATTAACTGACACGACGTTCGATTTATTTTTGTTTTCAGGGAGAATTGGCCAGCCTCCAGGCTCCAGCTATATGATTTGGTGTTGTCCTTCCATCAGCTTATATATATTTTTAGAAAACAATTCATCATGCTACCGAAAAGACACACGAGTTCAACAGGTTATTCCAGGTCAATCAACTTCTGGAACAAACTAATATCAGCTAGAAAACTGCTAAGGCCCTATTTAGATCCTATCCTAAAATTTTTCACCATGTCACATCGAACGTTTGAACACCTGTATGAAGTATTAAATATAGGCTTAACAAAATAACTAATTACATAGACTGTGACTAATTTACGAGACGAATCTTTTAAGTCTAATTGCTCCATGATTTGACTATATGGTGCTACATTAAATATTTGCTAATGACGGATTAATTAGTCTTAATAAATTCGTCTCGCGGTTTACTGATGGATTCTGTAATTAGTTTTTTTATTAGTGCTCGAACACCCCATGCGACACACTATATAATACCTTATGTGACACGCTAAAATTTTACACTCCTAGATCTAAACATCCCCTAAATTTTCTTTTCAGAACATGTCGACTTTATGTGAGCTGCTTTATCATTTCCAGGCCGACTCGATACCTATCTAGAGTTCATGAAAAAGGCGCGTGTTGAGATGAAGTGAGGCATTCCTATCGAGTAAAATTGACATTTTTCACTAAAGCAAAGGAAGCAAACAAACCTAGCCGCTACTTTCCACTAAAGCTAACAACAAATGGAGAGCATAACTGCATAGTGCAAGCAAAAACTGACAAGCAGAAAGGCACCCGTGATAACGAAGGGCGCATTCTGGAGTATCGTTGCTTTGGATCACGAACAGATATACTTCCTACCCATGGTCCATGCCTCCATGGATCCGTTTCCTTCCTACCCAACGTTGCGGGTTTGCACTGGCCTATGCGTCACTTTCGTGCATCAGCAACCACCATGTACACTTGTACAGTGAAGTTGCATGGTGCGCTGGTCTTGTTGCTTTAACTGTGTAACGGAGGCTCGAGAAGCTTACGGCACGACAGAACACGTCACGAGGCTAGCAAGCAAGGGGGGCATACCTTTCCATGCTTATCGCCAATGAAGACATGGAGCACGAAGAAGCAGAGCCAGACCATGACAAGCACTGACACGTCCTTCCACGGGAACCCCGCGTCGCCGCGGGCACCACCGCCATTGCCGGCATCGGTGCCGTGCGGCAGCAGCAGGGGCTCCTCGCGGCCGTGCGCGGTGGCGGCTGCGACTGCGAGGGTGGCGCCGCGGCTCTCCGAGCTCCATATCCTGAGCCCGGCACGCAACGTCTTGGTGGTGCAGAAGGCGAGGAACAGCGCGAAGAGCGCGGTGATGAGCCACTCCGGGAACATGACGTTGCACACCACCCCGATGCTGACGCCCAGGAGCAGGCACGGCTGGAAGAGCAGGGCGATGTCGTAGTCGATCACCGCCGCGGCGCGCCGCCCGCAGCCCGTGCAGAGGAGGTTGTAGAGCACGTTGGAGGCGGCCCCGCCGGTGACCATGAAGGACGAGTAGGCGGTGGCCCGCTTGAGGCTGAGCCCCGCCACGAGGTTCAGGATGGGGAGGAACAGCGATCCGCCCCCCACGCCGCCGGCGCTCGACACGGACGCGGCCAGGAAGGAGAGTAGCCATGCGGCGACGGTGTTCAGGCCGAGGCCGACGTGTGAGGACGAGTCGGCAAGGAGGAGGTGTTCCCGCCATTGCGGCGGTTTGGTGAGGAGGCTAGAACTGGAGCTGGGGTGCGACGAGGTGGAGTTGGACGCGCACGCTACGGACAGGAAGGAAATGCAGATGGCAGCGACGAGAGGGAAGAGCTTGGTATTAGTCATCATCTTCTTTGCCCTTCGCGGCTTCGCACGGTGTGGAGTATTTTGCCCCTCCAAAGCCTGTTTCTGGCTGGTTTTATAAGCCATGCTTTGGGTGTGTGTGGCTAGACTTGTTACTTTAGGAGAAAAGTTTCTAAACTTTATTTATGAAAAAATGGCCCGTTTGGTTGGGGGGAGCTTTTAGAAAGGATTGGGAGTTTAGAGGGATGAGACTATTAAATGTTTTGTTTGATTGGGAGACATGGGAATTTTGGTGGGATGGAGATAGGGAATTGAGGAATGAACTCCCCCCTTTTCAATACCTGGGTAGGGGTGGTAATTGGGAGGGAATTCCTCCTTTACTTCGCCAAAACAAATCTCAGCCATCCGTTTTCATTAATGACCTAATCTCCAACTAAACTCCCTATCAATTTCCTCCACATCTACCAAACAAGAGACTGGGATGAAAAATCAAATTCCCATTTTAATCTCACCATCAATTTCCTCGTGTAAACTCCCATCCCCCTTCTCTCAAGTTGCCAAACAAGCCAAATAGGTAAGGCTTTTTTCCAAGAGGAAATGATTTATATTTTTTTAGTATAAGAAAAATAAGTGAGTTGAAAAGGCCCATCATCTGTGTCATATTAGCCATTTTGCTGAATATAATTGTTATTTGAGAAATTTTGTTATACCAATTTTGAATTGTTCAGAATTCAAAAGGCAATCCATCTGTTTTATATTATAAGTCGTCTTACTTTTTTTCTTGAGTAAATTACATCTCCGGTACACGAACTTGTCAAGTAGGTGCAATCTAGTGCACAAACTTGTAAAATATTCATTTTGGTGCATGAACTTGTCTAGTGCGTGCGGAATAAGGCAAAAAGAACACAACATAGCTCATCTTATTTAGGGGCTCATTAGGATACCATTGTAAGCATATATACCATTGTAAGTAGAGACAAAATTTATAAATATTGCATGTTTTATACATACTCACTACACGTATAACGTATGCACATCATATCCTAATCGACATCACCTTTGTACAATCAAACATTGCCAAGCTATTTTGGTCCTCGTTCGCACAAATTAGACAAATTCGTATACCGAAACAAGCATTTTACAAGTTTATGTACTAAATTACACCTAGTTAACAAGTTAAACTACTTTAAATTTAACCAAGTTTATAAAAAATATAATAATAACATTTCTAATACAAAATAAACATATTATCAAAATATATTTAATGTCAAATTTAATGAAACTAAATTGATGTTATAAATGTTGCTAATTTTTTCTATAAACTTAATCGAATCTAAAAAAACTGACTAGAAAAGAAGTCAAACGACTTATAATATGAATTAGAGAACGACTTAATATGAATCAGAGTATGAATCAGAGGGAGTAACAATTATCACAAAATCATGCACACAAAGTTTGTACTGTATACAAGGCAACGCATACCCTCAACGCATACATCTTACAAGTACTGTATCCAAGGCAACGTATAGTCTTCGATCTAATCGCCATCAGAAATGGAAGTTTTTGGATAAATGACCTTTACTTGTTTGCCTTTGCCGGTATTGACAAGATAAAAGATGGGTAAAACATGTGCTACTGGTCCAGTTGCAACGTACAAAGGCGAAATTAGTATGGACACACATGCATTCAAATATTCACAAATTAAGAGCTATTATTGAAAATGCAATGAACAATCTTGTTATGTGCACGTTCTTTTGTAAGATGGAAACCCAACTTCACAGCACCACCGCTCCCATACCCATTGGGCCTTAATTCGACCTCCCCTTCATTTTTTTATCAGTAAATTTATCATGAATGCTTATAAATAGAGCTATAGAAGAGAGGTCAAGAACTCCAGGAGGAGAAATGAAAGAATAGCAGCTACACACGCACAATGAAGACTTGCGATTCAAGAAGCTCCTCCATCACCAGTGATCGTCTGCAAGGCATGCCAAGAGCCCATGGCAATGTATTAGATTAAGGAATTTCAATACCCCCAAAAAATAGTAATATCACACATTTAGAATGTCAGCTGTACATATTGAAAGGCTGCAAAACCATGTGACAAGAATTAAGATCTACATCATAATCCATTGGCAGGAAGGAATGGCTCACTAGTCAACGTAGGATAGTTCAGATGCAATACAGTTCCTCAGAAAAATGCACGTATGCTGATGCACAGGCAAAAGGTGATACAGTACTTACCTTTGATCACAGTTGCTATCACAAATCTGGGAGTTGCTCTCTGTCTTCACAATCCTCTTTGTTATTTACAAATCCGAGCTGGGCCTCTGTGTTAAGGCTCTGAGTATTATTTACAAGCTCGGAACGGGGGTTAACATTTGGGTTCTTATTTACAGCACCACCACTATCTTCTACTAAACATTGACCAAAACCATTATCATCAGTGCTAATTGGGCCTTCAGACATGCAGTCCAAAGAGCTAGAACTGCTTCTGCAGGAGAGTCTACCGTCCTCTGAAAATCCGGACTTTTGACGCTGAAGCAATCCATATTTGTTACTATCAGGTGTGCTCACCCTATAGGGAAAGAAGAAAAAGGTTAGCACGAGAGGGAGCTAACAAAACCAAAAGTATCAACAGACCATTCTTGTACATTAAAAAATCCACGACATCATTTGGCCTTTACCAGCAGGAAAGATGCCTTACATTATTGAGTTAATGCCTAATGTATCAATCGCCAAATAAAAGTGCATAGCATACCTTGACTGTTGAAACCTGGATGTATGAAGAGATTCAAATACTGGTATAAGATTCTTTGACCTAGATTCAATATTGCGAGTCTGGAGCTTTTCTATTTCAAGTTCACCTGAAATTATACCAGTATTGTCTGCTTCTAGAGCTCCATCCCCCATTACTTGAAAATGCATCTGGACATCAATCAACACACAGGTGTTATGCGTGCAATTGTGCAAACATGTAGAAGTCAAACAGAACAAAAGAACTGTATTGTAAGGGAATTGGTGAAGCAAAATACCCCAGATCTTGACCAGAGTGGTGTTGGAACAACATGAGTCTGCAATTCACTCTCAGAAATATAAAAATTATGATTCTCATCACCTAGCTTCTGCTTTTCAACAGCAGTGCCATTGGATGGATAAACACTAGTTCCTTTCTTTGCCACTTTCTGAAAAAGTTTACTGTTTTCTCCGATGTCAAAATCACTATATACAAAACTCTCAGCAGCGTCTCTTCGATTTCTTTTATGACAAACATCCCACTTTTGAAGAGCCTCAATAATAAACCTAGTGTCAGTTTCTCTTTGTGATCCATAAGGAATGGCACTCGAGGGAAAATCAATTCCAGGATCCTGCTCTGCAGAGCGATGGAGAACATACTGAATGATGCTTCCAGATGGAGAAAATACTAGTAAATGATACTTCATGCAAGGCGAACTTCCATCTGAGTTTTTGACGGCACCCTTGCAATTGTGAAATGTTGAAGCAATAGCACCAGAAATTGGACTGGAAACACCTGTTGCAAATGCTGCAGCACCATGAACAGCGCCCTTCAACAGGTTGCCTCCATTTCTTATTCTACTAACAACAGACAATGTTACAGGGGGGCCCGTAACAGAGAGTATCTTCTGATTGAGACTCAGAGAGGGAGCTGAGTTTTGGGACCAATGGGCAGTATGATTAACTGATGAATCCACCGCATAACTATTTTCTGCAAGATTGTTTTCGTTGTAGTGAAAGCTTGTTGATCCACAATATGGAGATATTGCAAAGAAATGACTAGTTCCCCTTGAAGAGCTAATCATTATCCATTCACTGTCGTCACTAAAACTGATATCTTTTATGACCTATGGTAAAAAGAGATATTGTTACCAAAACTAAAAATTAGACATAGTCCAGAAATATGTACGCTACCTTACCGCATTGGTGATGCCTCTTTGCAATTTGTACAGATGAACACAGGTTCCATTTGGACCAGCTTCTGATGAACTCCCATGCGAAGAAGGCAGAATGCGGAAAACATTGATATTTCGACCGTGAATTGAAGCTGTCACCAACAAAGTTCCACTGGGATCAAAACAGAGTGCTGAAATGGGGCTAGTATGTGCCCTGAACTGAACCACCATTGATTTAGAGACAATATCTCGAACAATAACCTGTCATTGGAAAGGGAACATTGTAAATGTCACGGTTCCATGAAGCTGGCAAGACAAATATGAGTACGGATAAAATCCTCACTGAAAGTTCACTCCATCCTATAAGTACCAATTGTCAGTGAGATATGGCATATCAGTGGCATATGCACAAAACTATCTTGAAATAATACTCCTGGCAACTTTTTAATATATAAAACAACTCCTTTGGTCACAAATAAGCGCTATCACTAACCAACTTAATCAGGATAAGTTTTGACATCCACCATCGTCAGTTTACTCTATATCTGAATTCCACCAAGACAAAAGTACGACCACAGGATGAATTAACTTTTCATTTATCCTACGACAACACCTGCTTTTGCTAGGTTTAAGCAGAAGGGGAAAACTTAAATTCATGTTGCATTGAGGGATAAGTTGTTAACAGTAATTCTCATTATGCCTTTAACAAAACAGAATCTTTTTGGTGGAATCATCAAGACTAACTCAAAGTTCGTTGTTTGCAAAATAAAATGACAAACAATTTCATTTTTATGCACAGCGAGACAGCGAGTTAGGGCTGAATGGTGCAATCAGACAGGAACAACACCAACTGCACCATCAGATGATTACTCAACTAGTCAGATGGGTTTCTCAATGGCCTTCAATTGGTTGGTTGTTAATATGGTTAGCATATAGAAACATCACAATAGAGTATCCAAAGCTGGTAACCAACATATACTGAGATGAAATCTGTACCATTCCAGCATATTCGCTGTCTGTATGCCCGTTTATTGTTGCCCCATTTGCTTTGAAGCCAGAATTCCTTTGGTTTATAACATTGTTACTACTTGGAATTAAGTCTGAACAATACTTGGACAACTTCTTATATCCAACATCACCAAGTGTTATAATGCCAGAAGCCAGTTGCTTGCTTGATTCTTTTGCATAGTATGCCACAACACTGCCATTTGAACCAGGTTGTGGAACTAGGGGAGATAGATTAAGAAGCTGAGGGGTAACACGGCCTGTATCCGGAACTGGGACTGGATTCCCAGAATATGCAATCCATCTAGGACCCAGTGCAAGTGGTCCATAACTTGAAATTGGTGGAACTATATGACTGGTAAGGATTGTGTATTCTCTCTCCAGTGTTGCAGCATCAAAACAATGTATCTGCAAGAAGCATTTTTGTTTTCCATAAAGGATTATTCATGATCCAAACACCAAGTTAAAAGCGTGGAGTATGGCATACCTGATTAGCCTGAGATACAGCTACAACTCTAGAACTGCACCGTATGGAATAAACAGTTGATCTGAACTTTATTGTATGCACGTAATCATGGACCCTTAATGAATAAAACCGAAGTACAGTAGGATGATTCTCATGGCCAATATTATGGAGAGTACCATTGGCTCCATTGGGAACAGGGCCATTGCCATCATTGCTGATTAGACTTCCTGTGCTAGTTCCGTCACAAGCAAGAGCTAACAGTGGCCGTTCATCTGCAAATTTGTCTTCACTGTTTGTAGAGGCAATTGGTTTCTTTAGGAGTTGCATGAAAGAAACTGTACCATCATGTCTGGATTCTAGCTGTCTTACATCATTAGCATGTTCAACATCCCATACTTGGAAACCAGATCTGTAAGCTAGAAGTAAAACCTGTCGCAGCATGTCACCCCCACATTCAAGTTTATCAAATCCAGCCCATTGTACCTGCAACCACATTTTACATGTAAGACAGGTGTAAATACATTTTTATATGAAAATATTTCCCGAGGATGCAAACAAAAGGAAAAGTTACCCTTCTGCATGTATTTGCTAGTTTTTGTAGACATGGATCCTTTGCAAGGAATTATTACTTCTACTAAAAAGGGGATCTTTTACTTAGATCCAACCGGTTTATGTACATCCGGACGATTTGACTGACCCTACTCCTGCCACAACATTTGTCCATTTGGATGAACTAGGAATGGCATATAATATGCAGCGTCGTATCATAATGTGCTGTCCAAATAGGAATTATTTGGCCAGGAGAATTATAGCCGAAGCTCAAAAGAAGCTTTTCATATTCATGATAACTCAATGGATTAACATCTGCAGCTAGCATTGTTAATGTTAACACACTAATCATCTCACCACTTTTTCTTTCCGCTGGACAATTGCTAGTAACTACCAAAAGCACTATCTATTTCAAACATAGGCAGATTGTTATATGGTGCTCAAAATAAATGCATCAACACTAACAATAAATACTAATACTGCCACATATGGTGAGCACCTTGGTGGCAGGAGCAGAAACTGATTGCGCCCTCCAGCCATAATTAATCTTTGCTCATTTTGCACCAGTTACCACTAATGCACACGTGAGACGGTGAGACATCTAAAGGCTTTTCCGTTGTACTACAATTATTGCCAAGCTAGCAGTTGCTATGCTAGTAAAACACAGCCCAAAAAAACCAACGAGCACAGTGAATTGTTTAAAATCAAGCGAAATAACCTGGTCACGGCTCCCATCCTCGTCGTGGCTGGCGATCGAGTTCACCAGCGACGCGCCCACCGACAGCAGGCTGGACGCGGCCGTGGACGCCCCCGACGACATGATCCTCATGTAGCCGGACAGCGTCCGCTTCGAGAAGGCCCCGCCGCCTCCGCCGCCTCGAGGAGCCTGCGCGCCGCTCCGCATCAAGCCGACCTCGAGGAGGACCCGTGCACGCGACGCTACCACCGCTCCCCCGCGTTCCTCAGACGAAGACCGAGCCTTTGCCTCCAAGTTAAAGCAGATTAACCGAGACGGAACCACCACCAAAAACAAAAAACAGGTTCACCTCGGCGCAACTCCGGCGATCGAATCAACAACTCGGCGTCCCCCGGGCTGTTTCTCTTGGGGGGCTCGGGGGAGAGACTCTTGCAAGAAACAGCCCACCGACCGTATCCTCAGGTGAGCGACATGGCCACGGCGCCGCGCGGGGGAGCTCGGGGGGAATCGCCACTGGGGCGGCCGGAGGAGATACCCTGCGCGGGGGAGGGAGGCGACTGGTGGTGGGAAGGGCGGCGAACTGGTGGTGCTCGGGCGAGCAATTCGATCGGAGAAAGCGAGGGTTTGCAGTTGCGAGGCCTCTCCTCTTTTTTCTCTTTTTTTTTTCTCTGGCCGAGGAAGGAAGGGGGGAGGAGATTGGGATTAGGTGAAATAAAATAGGAGGAAAAGGTTACGTTTATTACTACTACTTCTCTCTCTGAGAGAAAAAAAAAAGAAAATAATGATGCGCTTAGTCCAAGCAATCGGTTGCTGGTTTGCGGTTTTTTCTCTTCGATTTGGTGAATTGATTCGGCGAGAGGAGAACGAAGCAATCGGTTGCTGGTTTGCGGTTTTTTCTCTTCGATTTGGTGAATTGATTCGGCGAGAGGAGAACGAAGCGGCGAGGCAAGGGAAGGAAGCGGAGAATGTTAAAGGGGTGTGGTGGTGGGGCCGTTGGCTTGTTTGAGGGGATAATCTCTTTCACCTCGGGTTCGGATCGTTGCCTCGCCGTCTACGTTTGCTTCTCTCTCTCCCCCTCGGACGGACTCTCCTTGTGGCTCTTGTGGCTCTCCTTCCCGCAGGCTCGTGCGCGTATCTGGCTGTAGTTGCGTCGCCAGATCGGGTCAGCAACAGAAGGCACCGTTTTGAACTGCGAGATTTTTCCTGGATCTGATGGGGAGATAAGTTCTCCGTTTCAAATGTTTCCTTGGAGGTTTGGAGATTTATCTCTGTTATTACTGTGGGGATCAAATTGATCTCGCAAAACTTCTGTAAAACGGTTGCTAAATTCTAGCATTGACACAAATTTCATAATTGGGCACTGAGATATGCTGTTGTTTTTATTTTCCCTTGTAGTAGTTAGCAGTTGTAGAAACTACTGCTTTGATTCCTAATTTTTTTCAGATTTTATTATAGTTCATTTATCCTAAAATAAACTAACGTTATGTTAGTACAACGAATTTGGACATACTTTATCTTTAGATTCATCGTACTATGATGTAATAACACGAGATTGGTTTATTTTGGAACGGATGGAGTAGGTTATACTATGAATAGGAAACAAAAGCTTTTCTCTCTTTCGCAATAGATGATTTTGAAGAATATTTGTCGGAATTAAACTAGGTCTTTTGAAAATATTGCCAAAAACTGTATTCCAAAAGAATCATGATAAAGTACCAATTGTACTAATGCATGCAACAATACATATAGGTATCCTATAAATTTTCCAATAGGACACATGGCTAGTGATCTCTATCCATTTGTATGTTAGGTAGTAGTACCTCCATCCCAATATAAGTGTATTTGTGGGTTTTCATGTTCAACATTTGATTGTCCGTCTTATCTTATTTGAAAAAATTATGATTAGTATTTTTATTGTTATTAGATAATAAAACATGAATAATACTTATGGTGACTATTTTTTTTCTAATTTTTACATAAATTTCTTAACTAAGACGGACGGTCAAACGTTGGATACGAAAACCCATAATTACATTTATATTGGGACGAGGATAGTACTTTCTTTCGATATAAGGTGTGCAATATTTTTGCAATGGGCAATCTAGCTTGGTGTAGGTGTGAAGCATGGTTTTAGTTTTTTTCTTGATTATAGCTTCCTACTTTCCCCTGTTATATCAATATGAAGCTTTGCACATTTTTCTTGTACGGGTCACTAAAAAAATGTGTGCAATGTTTTTGGTATGATATCCATTGTTATACTTTGATAAAATCGAATAACTATAAATTTAACCGCATATAAAATTATTTTCAAATACAAATGTAATGTTATCGTTTGTTTGATACTACTAATTAAGTATATTATTAGTTAGTTTTTAGCCAAAATTACTATTGTTGACTTCTTCTAAAACTTGAGGACTAGGGCATCTAGTCTAGATTAACCAACATGACCAAGCAGAGAGGATGTTGATTGACTTCATTGTATAAAGGTGATCAATTGTAATAAGATCGCTGGGAGTGCGAGGATAGCCAGGCGTAAACAACTCTAGCGTATTTCTTGGTTTCCAAGACACTTTGAGAGCAGAATAAAATAGGTATGCGTACTGTGCGAGAACGGCAAATACACAGTAGCAAACTTGTACGATGGATTAGCCGATTGAGTACCGCCTGATTTCCCAAACTCTCCATGATACCCATACAACTGGACTATGACGTATAACAATGCATTAAGCTCGGTGCCACACGCTATCGTGTGTAGATAGCAAAGAATCATATGACAGCGCCAAATCAAGCCGGTCGCTATTGTGCTTCCGTTAGAAAAACACCCCGTTTTTGCGGATGAATCATTTCCAAGCATAATGGGCCGAAGTTCATGACCGGTAGGAGATATGGGCCCCTACACAAAAAGCTACTTACATATAGGAATGGAATACACTAGGGCCGTAGCGCATTGCAAGCCCTGGAAGACAAGGCGTCCACGTCCCAAGAAGAAATAAGTTCACTTTGACTCCCTTAATTAGTGACCAAATCCGATTCGTATCCTGGAACCGTAATACCGGATATCTCGACCCCCCCCAAAAAAAACTATTAAAACTGGTGCAATTTAACTCCCTCAGTGGTTTTAGAGGACGGTTTCGCTGACGTGGCGTCCACATGATAGTGTTGACCTGGTCTGTGGCGTTGATGTGGCGCTTAGGTGGCATTAAAGTTAAAAACATATATATGTGAATCATTTGTTATTCACAAAAAAAATATGAGGCACACGTGTCATCCTTTATCTCTTTCTTCTTCCTCCCCCTCTCTCTCCCTTCTCTCTTTCTTTCTCTTTTTCGGCGGATAGTGGCGCGTCGCCATTGCAGCGGTGGGCAAGGAGGCTCGAAGGTGAGCCCACAGCGGCGATGGCAAAGGACGCCGAAGAAGAAAAGAAGACTGGGGAGAAGGAGGGAGAGAGAGCCGTCCCCGTCATCACCGGCGCCGCTGCCCTAGAGCTCCCTGGGCGAGCTCCATCCTGTTGCTACCGTCGTCCACCATAGGTTGCTGCCCCGCACTCCCTCGCTGTCCCCACGAAGAAGAAAAGGAGACTGGGGAGAAGGGGCGAGTGAGAGCCATCCTCATCACCATCGGCGCCGCCGCCCTAGAGCTCCCCGCTGAGCTCCGTCCAGTCGCTGCCACCGTCCACCACTGGTCACCACCTCGCACTCCCTCATTGTCCCCCGCGCTCCGGAGCGGCGGCAGCGGGACAACAACGGGGAGCAGCGGCGGTGAGGACGGCGTGTGAAGGCACGTGCTCACGCCATGCTTGAGGAAGGAGAGGCGTCTCTGCTGCTGTGCCATCTGCCGCGCCCAATGCATGTGTCATCATTGGTGTGATCAAGCTCCCGTGCCCATGCCCGCACCATCACCGCTGCGCCTCGCCTGCCCTCTCGCCCACCACCGCCGCTAGTTGCTGGCCGAAGGAGAAGAGTAAGGGAGAGAAAGAGAAAGAGAGAGAAGGGAGAGAGAGAGAGGGATGAGGAAGAAGGGAAGAGAGATGTCCCACATTTCTTTTTGTGTGAATGACAAATGGGTCCTACACATATTTTTTAAATTATAATGCCACATAAGCGCCATGTCAACGCCACGTGGAAGGAAGACCATGTCAATACCACCACGTAAGCGAAACTGCCCTTCAAAACTACGCAGGGAGTCAAATTGTACCGGTTTTAATATTTGAGGGTCGAGATATCCGGTATTGTGGTTTAGGGATACGAATCAAATCCGGCCCCTCTTAAGGGAGTCAAAGTGAACTTAAACCTCTGAAGAAACCGGCTGTTAATGGCCTACTTGGCCATACCCAAGAGCGGAAACCGTTGGGTGTCGCCAAAATACAAATTCTTTGCATGGATAGTATTGCAGAACAGAGCATGGATTGTTGATAGACTCTAGAGAAGAGACTGGGCAAACCAACAAATCTGCCCACTATGCCACACGACGCATGAAACGACAGTCCACCTCCTTGTCCACTGCAGGTTCTCACGACGAATCTGGTCAGACCTCTAGAGATGGATAGGGTTGCACCTCAATCTGCAAAATTGGGATAGATGAACCTTCCGAGCCTGCAAAACCGACAAAGGCTCTAAAATCTTTGGTAATCCTCATCTCCTCGGAGCTATGGTGTGAGCGCAATGCAAGAATCTATCAAAACAGCGGTATGGCCTAACAACAATGACTGCAAAAATAAAAGAAAAGGTGATCACTTGGGTCCAGGCAGGCAGTGGTGAAGCTTCCGGTATGGCGAGATATGGCATTAGCCATACCTCAATTCCGTTAGCCAGTGGTAAAGTGCATGAATGCGTGATTAACTTCTTCATTGATGGTCTTGTTTTCACTTTGTTGCTAGTTAGTTACACAAAGCAATGCAACCAACCTATACTTATTATCTTGTTTTTACTCTTGTAATTAGCTATCTATATAAGCGCTAGTTGTTAGTTAGTTATACGACGCAACCAAAAGATAAAGGTTTAATCTATCGGTTTGGCAATTTCTATCTTCAAAAAATAATTTGAATTTTGAACAAATTTTGATCAAATTTGGATATATTTAGCTAAATTCAAAAAAAAATCTTGAAAATTTCGTTTGGGAATTTGAATCCTAAAACAGATCAATACATTTTTTGTTGCATCAAAGCATAGTATTATGTTGTTTTTGTCGTGTTGTTGCTACCACACCTTTTTTTTCCTCGTCCTCCGCCACTACAGGCAGGGACTTTTAGTCTATGAGTGTTTACCATTTTGGGAGAAGTCTTGTGATATGCTTTCTTTTGTGGGCGTTGCAAAAGTCATGTACAAAACTATTAGTGTCCTTTGTACTTTATCAATATACTAGAAAAGTGTCCGTGCGTTGCAACAGGTGAAGTCTATTTTAATCTTATTATTGTTATACAGTTTAGTTAAGGTGAAATTCACTGTGGAAATTCGCGTGGATATTTATATTTGTTTAGAAAATTATGAGTTGCAGCCAGGAGTTCGATTGTCTTGAGTTAGCATACAAGTTTTTTAAAGAGATTTTTATACGACTCCTTTTGTATTTCCCAAAGCGAACAAACATAAAAACTGACTCAAATACGGATATACATTTTCAAAATCAAACGAACTTAAAAACCTACTCATACATGAATGACGTACCAAAGCACAGACAAAAACATCTTTAATCTATCTATCTATTATATTATTAAGACAGCTCGAAAAGGAGGCACCACGTTCGCTGTGGAGGCTAGAAATTCTCACATTAATCGGAGAAAAAGAAAAAAAAAAGAAAAGGAGAGTCCAAGTAGGAATACAATCTAAAAATAGCTGAAATTCGGAATTAAAAATAAGTAATATTGAAAGAAGTTTCCATATAAGAACCCAATACGAGATTAATCAAAATTCGAAATAAAAATAAAATAAAATCCAAAATTAGAAAAGGAAAGAAGAGTCCAATTAGGAATACAATTTAAAAATAGCTGAAATTCGGAATTAAAAATAACAATATTGAAAGAAGTTTTCATATAAGAACCCAATACGAAATTAATCAAAATTCGAAATAAAAATAAAAAAAATCCAAAATTAGAAAAGAAAAGGAGAGTCCAAGTAGGAATACAATTTAAAAATAGCTGAAATTCGGAATTAAAAATAAGCAATATTGAAAGAAGTTTCCATATAAGAATCCAAAACGAGATTAATCAAAATTTGAAATAAAAATAAAGTAAAATCCAAAATTAGAAAAGGAAAGGAGAGTCCAAGTAGGAATACAATTTAAAAATAGCCGAAATTTGGAATTAAAAATAAAGAATATTAAAAGAAGAGTCCATATAAGAACCCAATACGAGATTAATTAAAATTTGAAATAAAATAAAAATAAATCCGAAATTAGCAAAAGAAAATAAAAGAAGAGTTAAGTAGGAATACAATTTAATTAAAAATAAGCAATATTTAAAGAAGAACCTAATACGAGATTAATTAAAATTTCGAATGAAAAATAAAATAATATCCAAAATTAGAGAAATTAAAAGTGAGTTCAAGTAGGAATACAATTTTGAAATAACTGAAAATGAAAATAAAAAATACAAATATTAAAAGAACACAATATGGTATTAACTATTTTTTTAAAAGAGTAAATTTCACAAAACTACAGATACTATGACCAAATTATCACAAAACTACAGATTTAACTCGGTGTATTATAAAACTACGTATTTAACACCAAATTTATCACAAAACTACACATTTAAGATGAAGTGTTAGAAAACTACATATTTAGTAACTAAATTATCACAAAACTACAGGTTTAGAATCAATTTAATCACAAAGTATTGATGTTTATAGCTCCACCATAACAATGTTGCTAGGGATTTAAACTCCAAAAGTTGTAGTTTTGTGATAATCAATACTAAATATGCATTTTTATGATACTTAATCTAAAATCTATAGTTTTTGTGATAAATTTAGTGCTAAATATATAGTTTTGTGATATAACTCCTTAAATCTGTAGTTTTGTGATAATTTGGTCAAAATACCTGTATTTATGTGAAATTTACTCAAAAAATAAATTCTGAAATTAGAAAAAGAAAAATAATACTTCAATTTGGAATAAAATTTATAAATAACTAAAATTTGTGATAAAAATAAAGACTATTGAAAGAAAATACCATCTAAAACACATGACGAGATAAATTAAGTAACAGGTTTATAAAGGAGTAGAGTGGTGGTGGTTGATACGACATATAAAAATTATTAATAAAACACCAAATAGAATCCTAATGACGATTAAAAGGAGGGACGTCAGGCAGGCTGTGAAGCAAACAAGTAAGGCAGTTGCTGGGACTTCTAGAAAGTAAAAAAAAAAAATAAACCCCATTGATAATCATATTCGATTTTTAAAATCTCAATGACAATAAAAAGGAGAAACAGAGCCGCCGACGGTTGACGGGACTTCTAGAAAATAAAAAATGAATTCCAACGATAGTTATGTTAGATTTTTAGAATCACAATGACAATAAAGATTATGCGACGGACGGGTTGTAGAGGGGTATAGTGGCATCGTTTGATGAGACTTCTAAAAATTATAAAAAATAAAACTGCAAGTCCAATTTTTAAAGGTTTGGAACTTCCAAAAAGTAAAAAAAAACCAATGATAATTATGTTCGATTTTAAAATTTCAATGACAATAAAGAAGGGTGGTAGCGGACGAGCCGTAGAGGAGTATAATGGCAAAGCCGCTGATGGTTTAGCCGGACTTCTAGAAAGTAAAAAATTGAACCTAAACGATAATTATGTTCGATTTTTAAAATCTCAATGACAATAAAGAGAAGAAACAGTGGACGGGCCGTAGAGGAGTATAATGGCAACATTTGACGGGACATCTAGAAATTATAAAAACGAAACCCATCGTGACAATAAACTCTAAAAACTATAAAATCCAATTTTTAAAGGTTCCAAGAAGAATGAATAGAAATAGTGATAGATCGAGTAAGCAAATAAAAAAGAAGATGACGTAAGGAGTAGCAACTGGTGTGAATTTTTAAAACTATATAGTTAGAAACACGAGAATGATAAGGTTTGGTCTTTTAAAGTCTTAAGACAATGAGATAGCTATTTAATAAATTTTTAGTAAAACCATAGTAAAAGATATATGATTTTGTTTGGGTGCTAGCCGTGTAATTGCGTGGGCCACCCAGCTAGTTTTTATAATAGTAGAGATATACAAAATTTTTGCCCCATTTTTTTTAAAAAAAATGCCCAAGGACGGTGCACTTCGGGCCGGCCGGTGAATGCATCTGGCCCGCCGTTTCATCACGGATCCCCTTTTGTCTACCGGGACAATTCGCCTGTGCCCGTTCGTTCGTCACGGCGAATAATCCTCGTCCTCCTCTTGCACGCAGAGCGCGGTCATGTGCTAAACTGCCAGCTGCCATCATGACAAGGCAGGACACATACATGTTCACGTTGTACTATATACATCCATGTTCACGCATATACACATACATGATTTGTCGTAGAACTTTTAAAAGATGCCGTATATATATATTTGCACCATGCCATACCGTGAAGAACAGGGTGAACGAAGAAAAAAAAGAGAGAAGGACTATTCTATGTGTTGATATACCTACAGTTTTTCTTTCCAGTTGTGAGAAAATTTCAGCGGGCGGTGAGCGTCAACGCCCCAACCACCTCGACCGATATATAGAATAATAACGCAACTCCACTGTGGTTGGCTAGCCCCCACGTTTGCCACGGCCACATGACGATTGATCGATCGAAGCGATTGCGCCAACTCGCACCCAACGAACCGCGCGCTGGCTCCGTCTACTCCCCCTTGCCTAGTCAACGTACGCGCCGCACACCTTCCTGATCTCGCCGTTGTCGCCGGTGAGCACCTCGATCCTCCCCATGTTGGTCATGGCCTCCGCGTAGTCCCTGAAGTACTCGTCCGTCGAATCCGCGGACGCCATCCTCTCCACGTACTGCTTGGTCCACTTGTCATTGAGGAGGGCCTGGTCGGAGACGAAGAGGCCCCTGTTTCTGTACACGTCCCGGTAGTAGCTCAGGTCGAACGTGTACGGGCTCCCCGGGTCCATGTCCACGTACGTCTTGTCGAAAGGGTCGCCGGCCACGCACGCCTTCCTCAGCTCCGGCGCGTACGCCGTGTTCAGCGACGGGTCCTGCCTCCCTTCCCCGCTGTAGTTGTACAGCCTGTCGCGCGCGAACGAGCCGCACTGCGCCCTCCCTATCGTGTGGCTCCCTGCGGAAAATCACGCACAAAATCACGCGCAAAATCGAGCAGAAATTGAAGCTGGTGAATGGATATTGTGTGTGCTTTTGCTCGCACTGACCAAAAGTACTACTGGACGCTGGTATTTGCGGTATTGCGTACCTGATAGGACGACGAGGTCCTTCCATCCCAGGTTCTTGACACTAAAGTAGATCTTGAGGTCGACAATGTTGGAGCCGGGCGGTGGGAGATCGTTGTCGGCGTCAATGGTACAGGACACCTTGCCGTCCCGGCGTCCGGTCTCCACCTGGTACCGTGGGCCGTTGCTCTGGTAAAACGAAGCCGCTCGTCAACGTACGTCGGGATGAACGATAATAAAGATCACGGCGATCGGATTATACTACTGATCTCGAATTAAAGTAGCCAGGGAGTTGGCGTCATTACCAGGAACACGGCGTCCCGCGCGGCCATGACGATGATGTCCGCACACGACACGGTCATCGGGCACTCATCTTCCAGCTTGGCCTTGATCCTTTCGATCTGTTCGTAGCCGCGGAGGCTGTAGCTCGAGTTGGCGTCCCTCTCCCCGATTTTTTCCCGCGATTTCAGCATGATGGACGCGTCACACCCCTGCACGCCACGCGAAGCCAAGCAAGCACAAACATATCATCAAAAACCCATCGTCCATTGATCAGCAGCACGCACCACGGCGACGCGACATCGACGCACGAGGGTTCGTCCCCGCGACGCCACGCGACATGATGAGAAACTGAGGAAGGGATCGAGCACGCGAGGCACGCACCCTGACGAAGCAGTCGTGGAGCATGAACCGCAGGAGCGCCGGCGCGAGGGTCCTGTCCTCCTGGACGATCTCCCTCATCTCGGCGAGCACCAGGTCCTCCGCCTGTGGGCACGTCTCGTGGTAGAACCCGATGGCGAGCCCGTCGTATCCAGGCACCGGCAGCCCGCTGCCCGAAACGGCGGCCGCGGTGGCGACGACGATGATCACCGCCCCGACGAGGACGCCCAACAATGCCATCCGGCCGGCCGAACTGGGCCGGACAACGAACCCTTCCTCCGGATCGAATTCGTCGTCGACGACGACGTTGCTCACCACGAATTAAACAAAGCCGCCGCTAGCTCAAGAGCGTTGAAAAGATCTCGAGCCGGCAGAAATCCAGGAGGAGAAGAAAGAAAGACGGAGCTGGAATGGGAACTGGACTTAAAAATTGGCTGCATTCCAGGCACCGGCCTCCCGCGAATACAAACTCTCCGGACGACTCGAGAATAAAGAAACAATGACAAAGGCCGCGGATAGGTAGGTGGGTGAGGTATCGCCTTCAGAAAGTTCAGAACTCGCGCGTTGGTTAAAAACGGTGGCTGTCAACTCAAAAGCTAGCCACCAGTACTATAGCTGGGAATGGGAATCGGGAACGGGGCTACGCGGAAAGGGCAAAAAACATCCGGTATGAGACAATTCCTCTATAGTACGTTCACACAGGACGACGGCCATGGGCGTTTTTGCACCTGTCAACGCGTGTTTTTCCTACGCTAGAGTCCGGCTACTATAGACGTGTCTGCAACTCTACCTCGTAGTGCCATTGACTTCGTCAGTTCATCTGCAGGAGTGGGACATGTTCTTTTCTGATGAAGGCCGTGTTTGGTTCGTGTGCTAATTTTGTTTTACGTATACAGACACACTAATAACAAACAAATTATAAATTCCACCTGTAAACTGCGACGAATTTATTAAGCCTAATTAATCTATCATTAGTAAATATTTATTGTATCGTCATATTGTCAAATTATAGCGTAATTAGGCTCAAAAGATTCGTCTCGCAATTTACATATAAACTGTGCAATTGTTTTTTTCCATATTTAATGCTCCATACATGTGTCCAAATATTTGATGTGACAGAATTTTTAAAAGTTTGAAGGGAACTAAACACTGCCGAAGTTATAGATTTTATCTCAGTTAATGCTAGCACGTTTTTTAAACGACGTATTTTGCACTAAAACTTTATACATAAAAGTTTGAGTGAATTTCATAAAACCCACGTTATAATATTTGTTTAGAGAAACCCCATGTTTTAGGGTAAATGTTTCAAGAAACCCCATATTTACTCAAATACTCATAATTTAAATATTATATATGATTTTTAGTATATTTTTACATTAGTAAGCTCCAAATACACACCCGATCCTATGTAATATATCTTTTTCCTTACTCTTTAGTTGCACAATTGATAAAAACGCAATAGAACATCATTAATAATGACACACTAACCTATTATTTATACATATAAACAATTATACTACCAATGACCTTTGCTCATTAAAATGAGGCTAGCATTTATATATACTCAGAAATATCTCGTATTATTTTTTTCAATTATTATCCATAAATATATTAGCAAAAACGATGATATAAGCTTAAACATGGGGTTTCTTGAAACATTTTGCCCCAAAACTTAGGGTTCTTCAAAACAAATCGTAATGCCTGGGGTTTTGTGTTATAGGTGCCCCAAAACCTGGGGTTTCTGAAATTCACTCTAAAGTTTCTTTAAAATATTAGATAATTATATTTTTCAAGTTTAAAATAATTAAAACTCAATTAATCATGTGCTAATAGTTTTCTCGTTTTGCATGCGCTACTTAATTTTCATCTTCAACAAGTTGAAATGGGGCCTGGGGTATATATGATACTAGATGATACTCCCCACAAGTCGCGGCGAACTATTCATATGTGCAATGCAACTATAAATTTCACTAATAGAAAAATAAGTTGTCGCCACGAAAAAAATCGTGGCATGAATACTAAAATTATGGCAATAGATACATGTTGCCACCATTTTAAAATTGTTGCTAGCCATGGTAATAAATAGCGTGGTAATAGGTTATTGCAATAGTTTTTATTTAGTGGTAATAAATTTTGATATTGCCACAAAATGGATGTGGCAAAAAAATCATATTGCAACACTTCACATAGTCATAAATAATTATTGTCATTACTCCATGTGTTACATTAGTTCTACATACCAAATTAAAACTTTAAATATTAATCTATCATCCTAACTATTTATTTTTGATAATTTTTCATAGCTAGGATTTGAATCCAAGATATTTCATTCACACGTGCTCTCCTTTACTAACTCACCTACGCATTAATTATGTTAGAGAATACATATATTTTCATTTGAACCTACGCATTAATTCTGATTCAAGATATGGCTCAATGTATGTTTAGTTTTTGGTGCAATGATCCAATGGCTCTTGTTTGTGGGTGATGTGGCCCAATGCATATTTAGTTTTTGATGCCAACTATATAGGATATATAGATGAGGTTGCATTGTATCTGAACTGATGCATAACTTTTTTTAAAAGAAAACAAAGCAAATTTGTTAAACATTAAAGACAAAGTTCATGTGAAATAAAATCCTTGGTACATCATCTGAGATAGAACATCATAGGCCAAGACCGTACTTTCTAAAGGTAGGGGCTGCTAAATTGGGAAAATAACCGCAACCATACAACAGTAATGGAATAGATCGATAGGATGCTACGACATTACCGCAATGACTCATCCACAAGCCTCTGCTATTAACGTGCACATCACTTGACAGACCGCCGCCCTCTTTGCCTACCTCCACAGGGAATGACGCTCTTCGAGATTTGTTGTTGAGTCATAGATTTTGCGTAAGTTTCATCGGACTTAACAAAGGTTGACTGTGAATTCCCGTGTCAACTCTGAGGAGTACTGACTGCAATCCTGTTGACAAGCGTCGTTTAGGCGGCCTACGCTCAATCCGAACACGGAGCTTCATATAGTTACTGCGGCAAGCTACAAATGCAAAAGATAATTTCGAAATCCAACTATCCATAACCACGATAGGATTAGGACGGTGGCGATTGAATCGCTGTCTTGCAAGATCAAATTGGATCATTGCAGGGGAGGGTATAGAGGAATAGATACGTGGGAAACTCAAGAAATTCCTTTGGAAGATGAAATCTTCGGGGCGTTGCAAACTCTTCATGTTTTTAGAAGTTAGGGGGAGGTGTTTAACTTTAGACAATTTGGATCGGAGAGGATGGCCAAGTCTGTCGGGATGTCTACTCTGTTCTAAAGTTTGATACTTGTTGGCACCTCATATCCCTTCAGTACACGATGGTAGATCATGCTGCAACTAGATGGGTACTTTGACCTAGTAATCTGGTGGGCGGCAGCATGCAAGTCCTCTTACCAAAGGTCGATGATATGTGTTTGATGCGGTGGTCATCCTAATCATATGGATGATTTGGAAAGAATAGAACACCTAGTTTTTTGACGGGTGTTGTGTTCGCCCAATAAGGTGGTTTGGAGTATCACTGAGGAATGGTGAACATAATGCATCGGAGGGCTTGAAGGTGCATTGCATGGTGCTGTACCCGGATGAAGAGCTCGGTGGCTGCTCTGCTTTGAGCAGACCAGCTATGCAGCTGTGTTTTTTGCTCTATTCTGTGTAGACTGTAGAGTGTAGTGTAGTACACCCTTTATCTTAGAAAAAAAACTAACTAATGGAGATGAATCTAAACAGTTGCTTCTCCATATTTATCCCTAGAAATTATTTTTCTAGACGAAGGAAGAACATAGCACTTTGCACCATAGTGGATGGCTGTGGCCGTGCTTTTCCATTCATGTAAAATTGTAAAATGTAACATTCTATCCCAATCATAATATTTTGGTTGACGTCCTTTCGTTATCAAATATGTAACTAAAAGAATCTAAATATTCCTATAAATACAATGATATTTATTGGGAATAGTTTTTTATTTTTGAAATATCGTATTTCCATACCTTTGGAATTGGACACTTGGAAAGATTGGAAAAATGTTTAAGAAAAAAGGAAAAAGGCTGTAATTGGCCAAAAGGCATCATTTTGGCCAAACAAGCCTATGTTAGAGCATCTCCAATAGTCTCTCTAAATTGGACTCTCCAAATACCCATATAGCCAACTCTCCATCTGATTTGGCCACTTAAACTAGTTACTCGCTCCAACAGCCTCTCCATCTACCCACTCTGTTTTAAGTCTATGACACTGGTTCCCCACATGTCAGTCGTTGCTTTTCTTCCTCCTCTCCCTCTTCTTTCTCTTTTTCCCACCTAGCAAAGGAGTAGTAGCAATCCAGCAAACTCAGAGCCACTCCACCTTGTCTCCCTCGTCCAAGTCCACGACGAGCCGCGGCGGTGGCGGCGGCGGAGGAGGCATAGCGAGTGGGGGCTGAAAATGGTGGTGGTGGACGCGTCGGAGTTCGGGGAGGAGGGGTTCGACCCGAAGTGGTGGACGCGCGCCACCCGTCGGAGCTGCTCGACCGCTTCCTCGCCGACGCCGAGGAGCGCCTCCGCTCGGCCGCCGACGACGCCGCGGCCGCGCTCGAGCAGGACAGCGCCGACGCGCTCCACCGCATCCCGCTCGCCTGCCGCGACGCGCTCCGCCTCCGCGATGATGCCGTCTCGCTCCGTTCCCATCTCGCCTCCGTCCTCCAGTTGCTCTCCCAGGTGCCCCACGCTCTCCTGCTAGTTGGAGAAACCGGCGGCGGCAAATCCGTGCACGCGAGGCGGCGTCGGCGTTGCCCTGCTCGGCCGCCCGGTGCCGGCGCCGCTACCGAACCACTGGCGCCTCGGCTTCAACCACTCCGCCTGCGCCGTGTCCGCGCGCAGAGGAGAGAGCACGTGAAGAGAGAGACAATGCGAGGGAGAGGATGGCGAGCGCTCCCGACTGACCAAATTTGGCCAGCGATCCCAGTCATTTGGCCAGCCGACTGCGATAGCTAGCGTGATAGCCAGTCCGTTGGACCCTGTTTTTTCCCATCGATGGCCAAAATTTGGCTTGGCCAGCCGGATACCGATTCCGTTGGAGTTGCTCTTACGCTGGAAATATAACGCTGCCTCATGTGAGGGGAACGAGCCTCTCAGCCTCGATTATTTTCAACCGGAATTTCGGTATTTTGAAATCAAAAGTTTAAATTCAATTTTTGAGCATTGAGTTTTGTCTAGTTTTTGACGGTTCATGACACAGGCAAATTGTTAGGGACCACTACACCATCAATCCTAAAATAAAGCAACCTTATACGTAAAGTCCTACGAATTTGAATGTACTAAGTTGATTTAATTTAGAAACGGAGCAAGTATATCGTTAAAAGGCTTACACCTGCAATTAATGGTATAATCCCGGTCCAAACACAATTTTTTTTATTTCTAATTTTTTATTAAAATATTTACAAAACTAATTTGTGTTTCAAAAATTTACATAACTAGTCGCCCGCCACTCTTTGGGAGGGTGATTTGAGAGTGATTTTTAAAAATTAGTTTTGTAAATTTTGTAAAATTTAAAAATTATTTTTGTAAATTTACAAAACTAGTTGCCCTTTGAAACACAAAATTAGTTTTGTAAATATTTTAATAAAAAAAATTCATCCAAACACGACGAGTGAGGAAGCTGTCTCCGGATAGACCTACAATTTGAGGCCCAGTGATTAGCACAACACAAAGTTGGCCCAGTAACAAAGGCTCAAGACTTTTGGTGACTATTGAGCTGTTTCTTGGAAAAAGTACACCGAAGGTCCCTCAACTTGTCATCAGGTTACAAAATCGTCCCTCAACCGCAATACCAGATATATGACATCCTTTAACTTACAAAACCATTCACTTTAGATCCCTCGATGGTTCTGACATCATCCTGTCTTATTTCTTCTCTTCTTTTTCTCTTTTCTTTTATTTCTTCTTTTCTCCTCTCTTCTCGATGCAGCCGGCGGCAGATGGGGAGAGGTGGCGTGGAGCGCATCCCAGTCCAGGCCTCCGAGCTGTTGTTCGACGTCGACGAGTCGGCGCGGCGGAGCGCGCCACCGGGGCGGTCGCCAGGGTCCGGGCGCTTGCGAGGGACAGCGAGCGGAACCGGCGATGCTTCGTGTCTGTCGGCACGGGGCGCATGCTGGCCGCGGCGTTCGAGTCTCTCGCCGCCGCGGCATTGGTTTGCATGATGCCATTGGACAAGGAAGCGGCCAGGGTCTTGGCCTCGTCTAGCTCGATGGGTTCTCGATCTCGTCGCAATTGCCAAGCACGGGAGCTTGCCCAGAAGGCTGAACGTTGTACTGGTTGTGATCATCAAGGCTCTGATCTACCCGCAGGTCACCAAGGCCGCCATGGTCGCCACCACCCACCTGGTGAGCTCCGACAAGCGCGTCGCGACGAGGGTAGCGTCCACGGGGCTCATCCCAACACTAATCGAGGCCCTCGTAGACGCTGACAAGAGCGTGTCCGAGAAGGCCCTGGCGGTGTTCGACGCAATGCTCACCTCGGAGGAAGGCCGCGCGAGCGCGCGGGGCCACGCCCTCGCAATGCCGGTCCTTGTGAAGAAGATGTTCCGCGTGTCCGATGTGGCCACCGAGCTTTGCCGCCGCCACCGCTCATTGGGCTCGGTCAAGGGAGGGGCCGGTGAGCCCGTTCGGACGGTGAGGAGAAAGCCGACGATGGGCACTGGCCGGTGAGGAGGATAGACGATGAAAGCCGGCGGGGAGAAGCTAGATCGCCCATCCCGTCTCCCCCACCCACCCCGACCGGCACGCGGAGCAGCGACGACCAGCGGCGATGTGGAGGAGGGTGTCGGCGTAAGTGGCGGCGGCAAAGGAGGGATGGGGATCCGGCCGAGGTCGTCGACACCCTAGATCCGCAGGCGCTGCACCACCTAGGTGTGGATGCTGGTGCTCCTGTTCTTCTTCACCGGCAAGGGCGCCCTGGGGCAGCTCAACATTGAGACCGGCATCCCCATCAGTTAGATCGAGCCGCTCATCCTCTTCAATGTGCCCACCGCCATCGCCACGCTAGTAGCCGGCTCCACCTACCGGCGAAAGCGAGCGAGAGGCCATGGTCGTAGCCGTCTCCACCGCAGCCGGCGGAGCTCACCGTGTCCAAGTCATCGGCCCTCGGCCCTCCTATCCACCGCGCTCTTCCCTCGCCAACCGCCGGCCGAACCGGCCTTGCCCTCCGCCACGCCGCCCGCGCCACCATGCGTCGCCGCCTCACCCCGACAACAACGCGCAGCCACGACAATGGCGCCGCACGGCCCTCCTCTCCGCCGCGCTCCTTCCCTGTCAGCCGCCATCCACGCCCAGAGGAAAAAGGATAGACGAGGGGAGAAGAGGGGAAAAAAAGAGAGAGGGCGGTGACATGGTCTCCCTTACATATGGGGCCCATGTGGGGCCCATGTGGGTCTCACGTTGACTCAGCCGTCACGTTGGATATAACCGGAGATAAAACCACCGAGGAACATAAAGTGAACAGTTTTGTGAGTTGAGGGATGTCATATATCTGGTTTTGCGTTTAGGGGACGATTTTGTAACTCGATGACAAATTGAGGGACCTTCGGTGTACTTTTTCCATAAGTGAACGTGACACCCGAGAATGGGCTGGTGGGTGTTGGAAGAGCGCCCATCTCATTTCTGGTTAACGTTTGTGTAGTCATGAGTTGATTACCTCCCGTCACAACTAAAATGCTCACCCTGCTCGATGCGCGAAACAGAAAAAGAAAAGGAACAATTGCCACATCACCCTATGACTACGAGGAAACAGCTTCTGAGCTTCTTTCGAACTAGAAACACGACATTAACAATTGTGCGGAAAACATCCCAACCCACCTCACGGGGCCCACCCACCATCCAACCCACACTTTTCAGAGCAAATATAATAGTAAGTTATAAGTCTACTATAAACTTATACGAAGAAGAGAGGCAACAAAAAAAAATAAGAGTATTGGTTCTTATGTAAGAACTAGCTTAACACAAGCTTCAAGATAAATACATTAAATATATAAGTGAGAGATAGAGAGAAGAAAAAAATTATAGCCAAATTTTATAGCTAATCTATTATATATCTATAATGTTAGCTTCAAGATAAGCTAATATAGTACTAATTGAGCTCTTGAGAAGTTTAATGATCGAGCTTTGCTTAAACAAAAAGCGATAAACCCACGGCATTTATCTCCTTTCTCCTGTACTCCGTCCGCTGTACGTGCGTGCGGGCGTGAGCGGTGAGCCGTATAATCAATCCTCTTGCTTCGAATGGACAGAAGGAAGGGGGGGGGGGGGGGGGGGGTGATTTTCTTGTCCGGTTCCGCGCGCGCGACACCCACACACGTCGCCGCCACGTGTACGTGTCACGCTCACACCTCCCGTGCCGCCTCGCCCGCCCGATTTTGGTGAGCGGCCGCGGTCCCCCCCTCCCCATCCTCCATCGTCCGGCCGTTTCGTTTCGTCTCCCCGCCGCGTTCTTAAATCCCAAGCCCAAGCCGCCCTCGCACTTCCTCTTCCCCCACCTCGCCGAGCTCCACGCCGCCGCCGCGGCGCCCCGTCTCCCACGCCGCTTCGCCCCGTCGTCTGCGGGGGAGCCGCTTGGAGTCAAGAGCAGCGACCGGTTCAAGTCTCGGGGGACGACTCGACTCCTCCACGCGGGTCGCGGACTCAGCGGTGCCGTACTCTGCCACCCGTGTGTGCCTGATATATGTGAGTTCGTGCCTTTTCCCTTGGGTGGCGGCAGCAGCAGCTGAGTCTCGTGGAGGAGGAGGTAGCGTCGTCGGTCGGCACGCGTATGGCCATGGACCTCGTCCGCCGGGAAGCGGACCGGGGCGCCGCGCCGGAGTTCGTGGCGGTCGACATCGGGGGCGAGGCGGAGACGGCCGGGGCAGAAGCGGAGCCCGTAAGCGTCCTCGCTTGACTGGAATTCGGTTTGTTCGCGTGTGGTAATCTTAGTTCTTCTGACCTTGTTTGTGCGATCGTAGAAGAAGATGGAGTCCTCCTTCGCTGGGAAGGGCCTCGAGCGGGAGAGGAGCGGAGACGCCAATCCTTCTACCACAGGTCAGTTCATCACCATGCTGCGCTCATTCTGAAATTCTGATTCCAGGAACATCTCAGAGTCCAATTTCTTCCCCCTTTTACCACTACCGGGGTAGTATCAGTTAGAAATTATACTCGTAATCTCTAATTTCCGTTCATAATAATTAGTTTGGTGTTCTGAATTTATCGCCCGGATGGCCCTGTGCTGGATTCAGTTTGTCCACTGCTCCACGCATGCGTCAGCTTGCGTGGGATCCTCGAATGCATACCTTAAAATCGTGTGTCGTGTCAGATGCTTTGCGTGAGATAGCTGCATTCTCATCAATCCTTGGGAACAAACTCCCAACGTTACCTGCCACCAACTTGACTATCATGAAACTTGGCTATCCCCATGGGCCATGGGCCAGGCACCACACTGTACTACTATTAACTAGTACACCAAATCTCTGGCTGTACCATTGCTAATACTTGGTACAACTTTATAAGGGGTCACGTTGCCAATTGCATAGGGTTTGCAACCCGATGCAAATGATCCCCAAATCCTGCTTCCCATCTACCATTTCATGTGAATTTGCTTAAGAGGGTGCGACCAATTGGCTAGCATAAAAATTTAAAGGTCAGAGGGATCAATCCTTGCATCTAGATGATTCATGACGACAACATCTCTATGCAATAAATTAAGGAGTGGAAACCAGGTTTAATTATGAGTTTGACATTGTTATCCATAGGGCAAAATACTTGGATATAGGTCAGAAATACAAACATAAATGACCTGATGAACCACACTGGCCCAACAGTCTCCCAAAAAAAAAAGCTAAAAATTCATAGAGAAAAAATTAACCCACCATATCTGTGCAGCACTACTGCAGAGCTCAGAGCTCTGTTACTGTAGAAGCCTCCAGTTGCAGTTCTTCTGAAATATAGTAGCACTGCATGTGCTAGAAATCATCATAAGTTTATTGTGTTGAAAACGTAGTAATGCAACACATATCATCTTGTCCTATCTCCTCAATGTACTCAGATACGTATGCACAACTCAATATTGTATATGCACAGGTGTGTTGGCCGTGTATGAGAAGCAGGTGGTGCCTGTGCACGTTGATGGTAGCCCAAAGGAGCAGTTCCACCCTTCAACACCAACAGCTGGTGGGGCAAAGCGCCGACGAACAGGCAGACGGGTCCCAGGGTGGCGTGACCCGAGGAAGATCCTTTTTGCCTTCGCAGCACTGTGAGTTTGATTTTCCATTAAGGATAAAAGGCAGTAGCCTTCATCAGCTGTGTTGTTAATAGAAAATTACAGGGATACATTGCATCTTATGTGAATTAGAAAGTAGAAACACAATAATACGTAACAAAGATGATTGACTATATACAGAGAAAATCATGGGTATTGCATGCTATGATCGGCATCAATATCATAGGTCCAAAGAAAATTTTCCATAAATTTGATTGGATGTTTCTTATCATCTAAAATTCTAACGAATTTAAGTGCATCATCCTATAAGAGTTTCCGAGGAATTAATTCCTTGGGTCTTTCATTTGAACTAGGTGCCCTATGTAGAGATATTTTTCATAATATGGTCATTTTCCCCTTTCATCTAGATAGGCCCTTTGTAGCTATTCTTGAAGCTGCCAAGATATGATTAAAACACCAATAGGGGTCCCTTCCAGACCAACCGTGTGCGCTTTATTTTGTTGCCTTGTCAGTGTCATGGCCAGCGGTTAGGAGCTGTGTACCTGCCTAGTTTTCCATTTGGTGAAAAGTTCTTAATAGCTTGCAGTTTGGTAAGATGTGTCTGTTTCAGTCTAGCTTTGTGTACCAATCGACCTCAGCTTGTCTTCAGATGAACAATTTTCCTAGCCCGTAGAATTAATTTGTCAGGGTTCTGTTATTTGTCAGGTTTAACATATTTTGTCAACATTTCTAGCTGTAATAGACTAAACTCTATATTTCTTAAGCCTTTAAGCTCTCAATTTGTTATCTGTTTGTTTTTAAATGACAGTGTTGTGCGGGCCAGTTATTCTTATAAACAGACTATGTACACGAAAATCTGCAATCCGTAGTACACGGTGACAACCCAAATGATGCAATGCATCAATGTTGAACCACAATTAATCAATGTTGTCATATTATTTTCTTTTCTCAACTTATGGCGTGATCTTGAATTGACTTGAGAAATAGAGCTCTTATGGGATAGATATCTTATTATGCATACTGTCTTTAAAAAGAAGATTAAATGATTGCTTTGTAAACATATCCAAGACCTCACCTTGGTTCTGGGCTTCTTGCTTATAAGATGTGATCCACTACATGACCTCAAGCCCTTAACATATCTTGTTTGATTCGCAGGTCTAGTGTGGGCACGTTGATCTTGCTCTACTTCACACTCTCAATGGGGAGGATGACAGGAGGTCAGGCTGATGGCCAGTGATGCCATCTGACCGCACAGTTTATCACTTTTCATAGTGTTTCTGATGTTTGTAAAGATCAAGAAATGGACGGTTGGTTTCTATACTAGCAGTGTTACATCACTGCTTAATTATATCACCATGATTTAGATGTTTGTACAAAAATATGTAGGCCGTATGTTAGAGAGTTTTTAAGTGGCATGAGGTGATTGGTGAATACTTGAAGTGTAAATAAACACATGAACAGCAATTGGATGGACGACGGCGGTGGAACAAAATGGCAGGGAAAATTGGATAAAAGCATTGTCGCTGCAACAACGAAGTTACCTATTGTAGCTTTGGGATTTTGACTGTACAAATGAGGTTTTACACATGAAGAGATAAATATTCTTTTGCGGACCATTGAACCGCTCCTCCTAATTTAGTCTTGAGATGTTAACTTGCCGGAATGGGATTCTCTGCCATGCATATTTCAGATCAAAGCTTGAGACGAACTGCTACAGTACTTCCGCTGATCAACGCGCAAGGTGAACTGCTGGTTTGCTGCCGAGCATGCTGCCACTTCTGCTACAGTGACCATGTACTGTTTACACCATGCTGTGCTCATATTACTGTAGCTACGGAGATAAGTGCAGATAATCCAGATCCTAAGTTGCCGGGTGCCCCTCGTGACAAAAGCAAAGTTTACTACATGCTCGTCTTCAAATATGTTACTCGGATAAGTTTTTCTGAAAATTTTCAGCTTTAAGGGTAGATGGAATGTTTTTGTCCTCTACTATTAAATGTTGGTAGTATCAAAATATAAGTTTGTTTTGATACTACCAAAATTTGGTGAAATTTGGTAAGGTAGTGTTACCAAAATATGAGAACTTTTAGGTACAATACTGCTAGTATATGTTGTCAGTATAAATAAGGATACGTTGGGAATTTGCCACAAAATAGAAAATGATCTTTAGCTATTTCGTGTTATATCTCCATTGCTATAGTAATATTAATTGTCTGTGTGTCATCGTATTACTGACTAGATATGGTTGAATAGATGACACAATTAAATCTCTTGTTCAGACCAATCCATCAAGCACATAAACATATTAACCCATGCTAGATAACTAGAGTAGGAGAGATTATCTAGCACATAGAAAGACCATTTTACCCCCTTAAATTTTTTACAACATTTGATTTAAGTGAGTAGATAAATCAATTTACACCCTTGAATTGTTTATAATGACAATATATAGTATGTACTACCGGTATATTATACCGTAAAAATTCTCAAAATATTGGCTCCACTCTAAATAAGCTCCGAGTGCTACTGAAGTTACCAAATTATTGAAACTACTGGCAAGGCAAATTTTTATATCAATCAAATTTAGCCCTAATGAAAAATGAAGATCAAAGAAAGGAAAAAGAACTACAGATGGGAGCGGCAGCCGGAGGGTGTTGCTCAGAGCCAAGAAGCCGACGGCAGCGATTGGAAAGTGGAGCTTGGAGCCGAGTACCCCTGTATAGCTAGCGGTGGAGCTCGGACGGTGGCGTGGACTCCTCCTAACCGGGTGTTGTCGGATCCGATTCAGGTGCAGTAGCCAGTGGGACTGCAAAATAAGCAGTCAAACTAGCATCGCATGATTTAAAATGGACGTTCCAGATATATCCGAGCACTGTAGCAAAACACTGTAGTGATTTACTGTGGAAAGGTACTGTTCTGATTTTACTGTGCCAAATCCGTTTTGGCCGTTAGATTTTGACATAGAGGGCTCAGATTGTGTGCAGTAGTTACCGTGCAGTCCTAGTAGCTACTGCATTTGATCTCAATCCGGTGTTGTCGCAGTTGGCACGGTGGTGCTCCCGCGCGATTGTCGGGCATCGCAGCAGAATCCCGTCACCCATCCCACCCATCGACCACGACGCTAGAGATGTGTGTGTGTGTGGGGGGGGGGGGGGCGTAAGGTGGTCTACTACACAAGCCCGCCTCCTTCTAGTCTGCCGCCTGTCGTCCCTTTCAGTGTAGCAGCTAGTCCAGCTCGGTGATGCGCACCGCCCTTGTCCCTGCCGCTTGCCCGCCTAGGGAGAGCTGGTGATGCGAGGGCAAGGTGGAAGATGAGGAGATAGAAGGAGCAAGCTGGTCGCTGACACGTGAGGTCCACATGAGTTCCACGCTGACTTAGCGTCACGTTTGCCGAAACCGAATATAAATATTATGCAAGTTCAGAGAGAGACATGTTATATTTGGTGTTGCAGTTCAAAAACGAAATTCATACTCGGCCTCAAGATGAGGAACTTATTGTAATCAAATGATTCTCACGATTTTTGGGCTTTCGCCCAGCAACCCGCAGGATCTTAGGAGGACACTTTTAAATTGTGATTTTTCCCATTCAGATTACTTGTCAGATATATTGCACTATCCTGTCCGAAAAAAATTTACGAATATATCTATTTTACCAATTATTTACATTTATATAAATGCATGGGAAAGAGTTGCAAAAATATACCCGTCCCGTGGGATAGAAACGTGGGACCGTGACGGTCCTGCGGGATAGCCGCGCGCCACCGTGACGGTCCCGTAGCTCGCGGCTCCAAAACGCGCCACTGTGTAGCAAGCAAATTTATTTACTTTTTTGGACACTGTTTGGCACTGTTGATGGGCCGGTTCCGCACGTTGGATCCGCGGGACTGACTCATGAACAGTGCAAAACAATGTCAAAATCGCTGATTAGCACGGTGGTGTGTTTTGGAGCTGGGACCGCAACGGTTCCGCGTTTTGGAGCTATGGGACAATTGCGGTACTGCATGGCCATCCCGCGGGACCGTCGGTCCAGCGTTTTGGAAATGCGGGACCGTCGTGGAACGGGTATATTTTTGCAAAACCTTTCCATGCAAGTATATAAACGTAAATTATTGAAAAAATAAGTTATTCGCAAATTTTATTCTTGTCCTATGTCCCCCAGAGACACTACTACTGATAAACGGTTGGGCGAGCGACTTTGTGGATGGTATTATACGATTGTAGTGCCACGACGCCACGGAACCAGTAGCAGGTGTACCTCTTGTGGCCTTGTGGGTGACTCTCTAATATTCAACTAGCATGGTGGCCCGCGTAAATTGCGCGGCTAGCATTCTTATATTTTCTCTCATATAATAGCATATTTCATATTTTATTATCAAATATATTAAAATGACAACATAATTTTAAATTTTGTACTAACTTGATCAAACTAACCAATGTGTAATATTCGTAATGTATTGTATATAAATGACAGTTATTAATTATTTTTAATAGCGAATTTTAGTTATTTCTAAATTATATTTCTATATGTACTCTAAAATCCTCTTCCAACATTCTTTATTTTTTTAATCATGAATTTCTATTATTTATAAATTTTATTCCTATATTTCTTATTCAAAATTCAAAATTTTAGTTATTTCTAAATTATATTCCTATACTCATCTTCCAATATTTCTTATTTTTAATTCCGAATTTCCGTTCTTTATAAATTGTATTTTTATATGGACTCTAGACTCTTTTTCTAATATTTCTTATTATTTTAATTCTGAATTTTTATTATTTCTAATTTTATTTCTTTATGGACTCTAAACTTATGTTAATATTATTTATAGATTGTATTCCTATATGGACTCATGTTTCAATATTATTTCTTTATGGACTATTGTTCCAATATTCCTTTTTATTATAATTTATTTATTTATTTATTTGTAAAATGTGTTTCTACATGTGCTCTAAACTCTACTTTTAATTTTATTAATTTTATTTCAAATTTTAGTTAATTATAAATTCCTATATGACTCTATACTCTTCTTCCAATATTCCTTATTTTAATTCCTAGTTTCTATTATGTCTAAATTGTATTTGGACTCTAAACTTATCTTTCAGTATTTATTTTTTCTAATTGCGAATTTAATTATTTTTAAATTATATTTTTATATGGACTCTATATACTTCATTCCATATTCCTTATTTTTTAAAATTTTGAATTTTCGTTATTTCTAAAGTGTATTTTTATATGGACTCTAACCTCTACTTTTAATTTTCTTATTTTTCTAATCCCAAATTTCCATTAGTTATATTGTATACCGGTATGGACTATAGTCTTATCTTCCTATATTCCTTATCTTTAATTTCGAATTTCAGTTAAATTGTATTTTTATATGGTCTCTAACCTCTACTTTTAGTTTTGTTATTTTTCTAATTCCGAATTCCAGCTAAATTGTATTACTATATGGACTCTAACCTCTACTTTTTAGTTTTCTTATTTTTCTAGTTCCGAGTTTCCATTAGTTCTATGGTATGCCAGTATGGACTCTAGTCTTTTCTTCCTATATTCCTTATTTTTAATTCCGAATTTCAGCTATATTCCATAATTATGTCAATTATAATAATCGTATCGATCATTGTTGCTAAGTCATATTATAAGAAAAATTGAAACATCTTTAATATAATGATCCAATCTTGACTATGACAAACTTAACAATGCATGTTTTACCCAAACAAATTGGATTATTTACGTGGTTGTACACATATAATCTAAAATAATCTTTCAATCTCATTCTTGCAATAATAGTAGGATCAATCAAATCCTGCATTGTCTCGTATTGTCAAGTCTAAACAAATAGAGCCTCAGTGCACTCTTCTCTTAATAACAATTAAAAATATGTTTATTTATTATTTTTATTTTTATATGATAAGCTATCAAGAATATTAGCTATACTTACCAGTAGTCTGATAATTGCATACAGAGACATGTAGAGTCTCAAATACAGGAGAATATAATTGTGGAACACAAACCATGTAGATGATGGAAAAATCGAGAATCCTATCCGACCCAAAGCCTCGATCAATTTGATCTTGTTCCAAGAAAACCAAGCCTAAGCAAGACTTGTTTTAGATCCGCACGTCCGAACATTCGACAACGCTATGGAAAAACCAAAACGACATGGTAGACGATGGACAATACAAACAATACAAATCTTATTTCATGAAATCGGATTTTTTCTGAAATTAGACAGTTTTTTTCGCATTGCGCAGTACTGAATCAGAATTTTTTTATAAACGCGGGATTTTTCTCACGTTGGGTCAGTTTTTTCGGGGTAGTATTTTTTATATATGGCGGTTTTTTCTCGTGTGAATTCGGATGGTTTTTTCTATCTTTTTTTAGCAATGTTTTTTCTGATGGTTTATTTCGGACAAATAGAGCCTCAGTGCACTCTTCTTAATAAAAATTAAAAATATGTTTATTTATTATTTTTATTTTTATATGATAAGCTATCAAGAATATTAGCTATACTTACCAGTAGTATGTATGCAATTAATTGCATACAGAGACATGTAGAGTCTCCAATACAGGAGAATATAATCGTGGAACACAAACCATGTAGATGATGGAAAAATCGAGAATCCTATCCGA